GAGTCGGTTTCAGACAGAACCACAAAAAAGTGATGGCATTTCTCACACTTGACAAATCGTGTCGATGCTGTAAGAGAACAAAACATGTTTTAATTAAAAGTCGTACGTCCTGTTTTATAAAAAAGCTTTTGGAATTAATAATAATTTTAATTTCCAAATAACAACATCAAGAATACAAACAATGACAAAAATCTAAACTAACAATTTTAAGTTCCTTTAATCTATCTGTTACATTACTCTGTTTTTATTAATCCAAAGATTGTCTGTGCATTAGTTAGGAGACACAAATGATCTTTCTATCACTTAAGTGATTTTTTTTTTGTTCCAATCAGGGTGAACAGTGATTTTCCCGGGTGAGAGGATGATCACCGGCAAAAACCTCCATCTGACTGTTAAAGAGAAACGTCCTTACGTCATCTTACAAACAACAGTCAACAGTCAATGAGCTTGGAAACGTACACTGTAAATGTTGCAACAGAGCATTGAAACTTTCATGAGACAAAAATAACCAACACCTCAGTGTTTATTTGCAGGACTTTATTTTGACAAACTGTGATTGGAAATGACCTACTGTGGTTTCTTGTGGTGAACTTTGTGTTGTGTGTTTGAATTAATACTGAGGAAGTTTGTTTAAGGTAAAACAAAATAAAAACATTTCAAAACCATTGATTAAAATGATTATTTGCTCATCTCATGTGGCACAAAGTTGTCATTTTCACTTAGATCATTTTATTTGGTAAGTGGTCATCAAGAAAAAAATGTTTACTTACAGACAAAGGTCTCTACATGTGTACAAGGATCTCCACATTTAGGGCAGCGCAGCTGGCTCCCCCCCTTGCCTGATCCTCCAGAGCCCGATAGTCTCTTTCCCTCACTGATGCTTTTCTGTGTAAACACGACTGTGTCAGCACATCTTAAGTTATATGATCACTAACATGTAAAAAGAGTTGTTATAGACCATGAGGGGAAAAAGAGCTTCAAATAAGATTATTACTCCAGAATATTACCTTCCCGCCATCACTTCCACCATCCTTTGTTGACCCATCTTTGGAGGCATAGCAAACAGACGTCTCTGAAAATGACCTTACTCGTACCCGCGGGGGTAAATGAGTTTCTCGAGACCCGTGACGACTCAGAGAATACAACTGGATCCGAGAGCAGGACAATCCTGGAACATAAGAATCACGTTTAGTAGTTTTCCTTCAAATCACCCTTTTAAAAAATTGTAAGCAGTAATCTCCAAGTAAAATAACTCATACTATTACACTGTGTATTATATTAATATATTTAGACAAAGACCTATTTATTGTTCTACCATTTATTGGGGTAAAAATATCAAACAATTGTTGGTTTCAGTTTCTCTATTGTGGTAAAATTCCATGTGTGATAGTGAAAGGAATATCTTTGAGCTTCAGACAGCTGGTTGGACAAAACGAGCAATCTGAAGATGTCACCTAAAAAACTTAACAAATATTTTATGGAAATTTCCCCCAATTGGTGGTGCGCAGTAGCTCAGTCTGTAGGGACTTGGGTTGGGAATCGGAGGGTCGCCGTTTCAAGTCCCGGCACAGACCAGGTCCGGAAATTGCCCTTGTAGCTGGAGAGGTGCCAGTCCACTTCCTGAGCACCGCAGGTGCCCCTGAGCAAGGCACCTAACCCCCCCCCCACAAACTCAGGAGCGCCCACTGTGGGCAGCCCCCTCACTCTGAGACCTCTCCATTAGTGCATGTCCATAGGATCCTGTTTATGCAGCATTTTTACTAGACAGAGTGTAAAAACGAATTTATATATAAATATATAAGTAAGTTTATATAAGTATAAATTATTATTAATATTATTAATTTTGTAACTCCTTCTATCGATGCTCAATATCAGATTTATTAAGAAAAACAAGGTATTTTTTAATAAAAAATTGGTGCAGCCAAGCATGTTGAATTTGGGGTAGTGTTATAAATGTTAAATAGTTCATTAGTAAAAAAACTTAATGACATATAGGTATGGTTCAACAGGTTGTATCTATTGTTAAGCAATGATAATTATACATTTTTATTTTTACTGTGATTTGTCATTGTTCTACGTAAGGTCTAAGTGAGCTAACCAAAACTACATCACACTGTTTTGTTTTTATGCGTTAATCCAATCCTGCTCAACTCTTAAATATAATGCTGCTTGATGCAAAAAAAAAAAAGCTTAGCTGCAAATACTTCAACATGTATGAGTAACTTTTACACCTGCTGTGTGCCTGTCATAACAAACAGCGCAGTGAGTGTGAAGTGGAGACTTGTACCAGATCACAGAGCACACAATGTCATGCAGTTTTTTGGTCCATCTGGAAAAGGTGTGCTTCCTCCCCCCAAATCTCACCTCTGTGGGCAGTGTTCAGAAGCAACCTTGCAGCCGAAGTGCATGGGCAGGACATAACTCTTCTTTTGGCTTAAAATCCTGAAAATGAAAGAGAAAGTCAACACAATGTACTCGGGGAGGAAAGTAGGGGGTGGGTAGCTGCTGTATTAGCCTTCAGCTAACAGACAGCAGGCGAACAGGAGAGGCCGGCAACACATTTCATAACTTCAACGTCACTGTTAGCATTAGCAAAACAGGTCATTCACTGCTGAAGGTGGTCGTGAGAGAAGCCTAAATAACAGCACATTAAATCTTTACGAAACCACCGGGAATGCACTGACAACTACAGTAACTCCCATCGCCTCCTACTGTCAACAAATAACAAACAAAAACAATGACGTTGTGAAGCGCGGAATACACGGAAAGGTTACGGTTAGCTGGTTAAGCTGGGCCCGCAGCAGAGGCAGTGCACAGCGGCTAAAGCTCCGCTGCTTTCTCCCCCCCCCTCCCCATCCCCCCCTCCTGCGGAGTGGATACAAAAACACGCAGCTAAAAACAGCTAATGTCACACAAAGAAAGTTAATTCTCACAATAACATTTTTACACCTCTAAGAGAAACTTGTTTTACGACAGTTTTCTTTTTACTCACAGGGCACGATGAAACCAGTCGCGTCTTGACAGCCCCCCCTTTGGAAAAACAAAAAAAATAAAAAAATAATAATAATGCGAAGTCACTGCAGCTTTCGCACTGATGTGTAAAATAGACAAGTCAGCGTGTCATGCTAGTGTCACAGTGCTTAATTCTATAAGGTTGGTATATAACGCTATCTTAAGGCCAGGTGGAACACGGCCCGAAGTGATGTAACGCTTTGCTGTTGTGAACTAGGTCGGATGCCCAACTAGCTAGCCGGCCTTACGTTCAGCGTACGGGAGCTAGGAGACGTGATTCAAACCATCGTAACCGGTGTAAGCAACATGGAGGTCGTGTGTATGTCAAATGTACGACGCACCCATCCGGATACTTGGAGATCTACTCTTCGAAAAGGGGGCGTGGCCGGTAACGCAACGCTGGTGCGTTTAAAGGCCCCTCGAAAATGTGTGAATAAACAACGTTGTGAAGAAATTGTGTTAAATAATGATAATAATAAGACAGTAATACATTTTTTTTTTAAAGGCGCCTTTCAAAACAACAAAGTAACAACACAACGATAGAATTAACATTAAAAACACAGAGCGGCTGAAGGCCCTGGACCCCATGGTAGACAGGCGGTCGTGTTGCGTTCAGGTGGTCCTGGTCTGGGACTTTTTTTTTAGTATTTTGGTGGTTGCAAAAATGTAAATACTTATGTCATCAGTCATGAGGCACATTTTTTTTTTCCCTATCTACTCATTGAAATACACTGTAGTCTGTGGTCTTAACTTGTGCAAATTATCAAATCCAATAGACATGAGCAAGCTGATCTATTTATTTAATCAACAATAATTCAAGACTCAAGATTTTTGTTTGTCACATGCTCATACAGATGTGCAGTGAAATGTAAAGACTGTTTTCCGCAAGGCCATGCAATAAACGCTCAAATTACATTATTACATTATTAGTACACATATATACAGTAATACAGTAATCTTACAATGTAGGCTGCTCCGCTGCTGGAGTTAGTCTGACTGACATTACAGCAGCCTAGGGTGCTAGTTTACACCACATATAAATCATTCACCGGCGTAGGCTGTGTTAATAGATAACAGGGAAGTCAGCAACATTTTGTTCTAAATTTAACAGAAATGGTAAGATTACTGTCCTTAAAGAGGGGATCTCAGCTCTGCTTTGTGGGCTCCTGCTTGAGGAAAAAATGTTTATTAGAAGTTAATTGACTTAGGTTAGAGGTGGGAAAAGTTGGTTGTTGATCCAGCAGCACCTCCTTCTTACTGTGTACTTATTTTGTATACCAGGTTTCTATACAGACCAGATCTCAAAATAATGTAATTATGCAGAACCTTCTTAAGTTCATATTGCTTTTACCTTTAACCCACAAAAAAAGAGCCTGCTGGGGTTTTGAAGTCACTTGGGATCTGAGGCCCCAAATCCAGTTTTTCAGGCTTTTCTGCAACAAATCATGTTCTTTTGAGTGTGAGAGTGTCTGCTTTGAGCCCAAACAGTATAGGAAGTTAAGCAATGAGCTGTTTCATTGCAGCCTTCAGGAAAAGGTGTTGCTTCTGTGTTTCCTCACATAATGTGCCGTAACGATATTTACAATATCACACAATAAAACTAGGAAAATAAAAAAGATAGTATCCACACAATATGAAAACATTAAAATGATTTTTGCAAATTGTTTTGTTTTTTTAATTGTCACACAAGTGTTCCATGATTACACTCCATATTCTCATAGTTCTGTGAATCATAAATAAACAAATAACTGTGTGATCTATTATGTCTTCATTTCTAACTATACCATAAATCATATCAGTCATAAATCTATGCATCCATGCAAAGGAGATACATTTTGTTCACTTTGGAACAACACGTGTATTAGTTATCAGGTATCTGATAAATGGCTCACACATTTATGCAAACCATTTCTATTCTGACCCGTTAAACCTCTACCAGCAGCCTGGTAGACCTCCTCACTGTGTCAAGGAATTCATACAAACGAAGGGAGATTATAAAAATATTTTATTGCTCATTTTACAAAACCTGAGGTTATTGCTTCGTGAATTTGAGTTTAACTTTGCATGTTTTCAGGCTGCGGTTGTCCCACATGTACAAAAGCTTTTGGTTGGGATAATATGACAGCATAGCTAAGATGCCGTCAGCAGACTTCAGATCAAAACTTGCATCTTGAGGACTCTCTTTATTTAAATCAAAGGCATATGTAACTCTCCTGTCTCTAACATCTGTAAAATACAACACACCACATACAATGAAAGCATTTCCTGCTTTAGCTGTGGGGTAGTGAGTGTTAATGATGGACTCTACAGAGAATGTGTCAGAGTTAAGCTTTACAACCATTATGTTATCATCTGTATCTGATGCAAAAATCACCCACAGACCATTTTCATCCACAGCAAACTTGAAGTATGTCTTAGAGTTGCGGAAAAGATAGGTCAGGTTGTTATATCTGCTGTTTGCCATGATCAGAGTGTTGGTCCTCCTGCTGTTCAGGTCAAATCTGTAAAATAATGATCATGTGCAAGTTAAGAAGCTTGGTACAAAGGTCACACAAAAAAGAAAATATTAGTATGGATAATTTACCAAGACAAGAACAAAGTGTTCTACATTTTTAACATAAACACTTACTTTATTAGTCTGTTTGTTCCTGCGTTTTGAAAGTACAATGACTTCTTATAAATAACATGACCACAGCCCTGGTAGAACATCTTCATGTCTATAGTTCTGTCGCCTTTGCTCTGAAAAGTGGAAACATCCCTGTGCTCCGTCAAAAGTCGACCTGAAGAGACATTTGTTTGGGTTGAATTCACAATCTCTCTGACAATTCCCTGTGATAAACTGCAGACAGACATTACTGTAAAAATCACCTGAAAAATGTTCGGCCAGCCAGTATCGACTTCCATCCGGCTCAGACACATCGGACATCCAGGCTCCAAAAGTGCTCTGCATCTCAGTGGCTCTCTCCGAACATCTAATAGTTTTAATGCTGCACTCTAAACAAATAAAACATTTATTTCAGTAGTTCAACATGTCATCAAATATATAGACGGATGAATAGTTGGAAGTGTAATTTAACAAAATCCTCAAACCAGCTTTTGCCCATCTCTCATTGGTCGTCTTGTTGATTTTGTTGTTGGTCTGAATTTGAAATAATGAATCTATGGAAAAAGAAAAGACATGAATTCATATATGTACCCCTTATTCAAATGATTATGAGCAATTTTTGGTTGTTTTCTCAAGATCTTGACTTATTTATCTTATTACAAAACAACAACACTGGTTTTACTGTACATTAGTATCAGTTATTCCTTAAGGTCTCGACTTATTTCTTATGTTGTCCTCATTTCATAGAGCTGGTTTTCCCATTTTCCCAGGCAGAATTGCTCACAGTAAGACAGAGAAGTGTATGGATGAATGTCCACTTAGAGCTTCGGTTCTGTTCATATTTTTACAAGTTTAAATATATAGATTTGTTTTCTGTATGCAGCGATGGTTGTATCAGTGTAGCAATGATATTTGATGTCAGATTGCAAGTAATAAGCGTTCATTTTTTGACTTGTTAGTTTGTCTTTAATTAATCAATCAAAATGAACATGGTATTTTGACAGCCCTAGTGGTAATATTTTGATCCTGAACCCTGTAATAAAATATGTCTTGAGCATTTAAATGTTAACAAGTCAACATTTGAGCCAAATATGGTCCCACAGACCGGTTCTTACCACTTTCAACGGCTGTGTTGTTAGGTATCCCACTGTTCTTGAAGGCATCCTTCTTTTTAGCCAGGTCAACAACAGAAAGTGAGGCTGAAAATTGACAGTGTACATACAGTATATACTTTTAGTTAAATCAACTATATATATATATATATATATGTGTGTGTGTGTGTGTGTGTGTGTGTGTGTGTGTCATTGTAACTTTTAATAATTGAATTAAGAACAGAATTATTTTTACCTGTTAATATTGTACTTGGTGCTGGTGTTGTTTTATCTCTTATGGTGTCGTTCCAGGTGTCATCACTAGAGGTCATCTCTACCCGAAAACCTTGGATGAAAATGAGCTTTTAGTTAAATCAATTCAATTTTGAATAGTGCATTGGCCCTGTGTAGTATACAAGAGTCACTGTGGAAAAAATCAAAATAACTTCAATATTCTTAAAATAAAGTCCTACTTAAACCTTTTTTTGTATATGCACAATATTGATACAAACATACAGTAGTTCATACAACATGTTTTACCACTTCTTATGGGTGTATCATTAAAATTCCCGCTGCCACTGAAGGGGTCACTCTTTTCAGTTATGTCTGGAGGTAGTAGAGCTGAAGAAAGAATAAAAAGACATCCATATACATTTGAAATAATTGAGATGCTGGGCAGAAAAGAGTCTTCTTATAATAGCAAACAGTTTGTACCTGTTAATGTCACTGGTGTCTCTGTGACATTTTCTGTGTTGGAGTGAGTCAAGTTGTTGTGGTTGTACTCTTGATGAACTGTCCCTATTTAAAACATCAATAAGAAAGTTCTGAATCAAAGTATTTTTTATTGATTATTATAATAGTCCTCCCACCACTCAAAACACTCTTCTGGAAATTTACCAATGTCTGTAAAATTCAATACATCTCTTTGTCATTGGCTGGACGTGTTGTTGGTGGAACTGAATCAAGAAAGGAAAATATAGTACAGAAATGATTAGTCAGATAAAAAGTCTCAATTCACCACAGCAGACCATAGAAATCTTAAACTTGTGTTTTTAAAAGTTTTTCACCAGTTGTTGTCCATCTCTTTTTAGTTGTCAAATTGGGCTTGCTGTTGGTCTTCTGTGAATATGAAGAGTCTAAAGAACAATAAACCTTTTAAGTGGGCACCTCAACAGGTGAGAAAGTGGAAAGTTTATACGACTTCTAATGTATTTAATGAACCCTTGAATGAGTGAATTATTTAAAAAATGAATCAAAGGTAAACATCAGTTTCTTAACGCTTACTTGTGGACGTTTCTGCTATGATTCCACTCTTATTGAATTTATCTCCAGTCTTGTGTGCAGAAATTGACGCTGTAAAAACATGTAATCAAATTGTTAAATAAAATAGTGTAAAGTTATGTCTAGTTGTTTCACTCAAAACTCAAACACAGTACTTCTTACTGGTGAATAATCTCATCCATGTCTGTATCCATGTAAAATTCACTCCATGGGAGGAGTCATCCAGGGTGCCAATGCTGTCGTCTTGAAATGACACAGAGTCTACAAAAAAAATGGGGGTTTAACATGTTTTTCTATATATCAAAGGCTACTTTTCCAAAGAAGTCCCCAGGCTGCTCAAAATCATTGTTCACCAGATTTCAATGTTGCAAGTGTTGTCGCATCGCCAATGTTCAAGACGTCTTTGGAGTTGTCCACTGGAATATGTGCTGGTGATTCTGCAGAAAGGAATTCCAGATATGATGCAAATACGGAAGTGAATCAAATAATATTTGTGTGGTTGAAATTACAAACAGCATATCATATCATTTATAGCTGTGTGGTACTTAAATGTGAGCTTGAAGTTACAAAGTGTACCCACCAGTTTTGGTCCGTCTCTTGTTGTTAGTTACACTTTTGTTTTTCAGGGGCTTTTCTTTGAATGCAGCATTGTTTTTGTCCGCAGAAAGTGTGGCTGTGAAACAAAATGAAACATTTAAAATAATGTCCCTAAACTTGTTTTACTCTACTAATTCAAAATGAATTTCATCTACCTGTTATGAATTCTATTGGTGTCTCTGTTACACTGTTGGGGTCATTCAGGAGGTCACGGCTGTCGTCTTTATGAAACAAGATTGACTCTAGAGAATTAAAAAAGCTGAAGTCAATGTGTTGCGTTCTGTAACAGTTTGTTTTGCATATCTTGCAAGAATACCACAGCGGCTCACACCAGAGATGGAGACCAATTGGTTGTGACTTGGAGAGAGAAAAATGGTCACACAGTGAAGAGATTCAATGGAAAAAGCACTTTTTTTAAAGATGTGATTTTGGCATGTTTCCTTTGCACAGTTACATTCATGATTTGCCACTTTATACTGCAACTTGACTACAATTAAGAGGGGTGTGTTACACTTTTAACCCTGATAGCTATTTTTCAAATGTGCTCACTTTATGATTAATTTCTCCTTTCTTTTCTGATGGAATAATTGCTTCAGGATTGAACAGGTTGGTCAAATTTCTGTTGAATTACAAAAACAACAAAACAGACACCAATACCAATGGTCATGAAGGTGTCTCACCTGATTTCTCATGAGTTTCTAGAATTTTCTCAGAGTCAGTGACATTAAAAACACCTCTGGCCTCATGAGCTGGATGTGGAGACAAAAAACGATGGAAAGGCAAGTGAGTTTCATAAGATGAGCGGAGAATGAACTCTGTGGGTAAACACATTTCAGTCTCATGTATCCCACCTGGTAACAAGCTGACTGATGCCTCTGTTGCACTCTCTGTGCTGGTTTGAATCCTTTTGTTATGCCTGTAGTCTGGACTGGGTGATACTAACTCTGTAGAAAGTAAAACAAACAGAGGGCAGTATGTGGTTATACAGCAGAGTATCATTCTGAGCAAATATGAGGCTTACAATAAGCACAGGTGAGTTGGTTGACACAGAAATCAAAGACAGAATCAAAGATATTGTAGTTTTTTTACCACTTCTCATGGGTGTATAGTCATTGTTTCTGCTGCCATCAAAGGTTTCACTGTTCTCAGTCCGGTCTGGAGGAAGCAGGGCTGTAGAACAAACATTCAAACTCAGGACAGTTTTCATCATGGGTCAAATTAAAAACAGGGTTACAACTTACTCTGCTCATGTATGTGACTGTTTTTAACTTCTATAATTTCTGCCTTCCCTGATTGGTTAGTTTCTTGATACTCATAATTACATTTTTGGTTTATTTGTCTTTGTCTTCTCACTATTTTTTGAATCTATCTTTAAATTGTATTCTAGACATCATTGAGATGAGGGTACGCCCTATATGATTCCTTGAGATGAAAAAAGATTGAATCAATAAAATTAAGAATAAAACAGTTTGTACCTCTTAATGTCATCGGTGTCTCTGTAACATTTTCTGTGTGATTGATTCAAGGTGTCGTTGCCACTCTCTGGGTGATCTGACACTTGAAAAAAATATATATTTAAAAAAGTAGTGAAGTTATTGGTTTAAGACTTAAAAAAATCCACTTTTGCCTCTCAAAAATGTTCCTCACCAGCTTCCATAGTGGTTTCCAGAAGTTTGTTTGAATCAGTCACATCCAAACGATTCACTTTGTCTGCGGTTGGAAATGGTCTTTGTGTTCCTGAGGAAATAAAGACATTGCAATATTATACATCATAAAATGAAGAGCTATTGTAATTTTTATTTAATTGTATCTGTAAATTCTGATTTGTTTTCCTACCAGGCTTAACAGCTGTCCAGCTGCTGGTGTTTTCTGCCTCAGTGTCGTTGAAGGCCTCTGTGCTCAGAAGAGGAGAGGAATCTAAATGTGCAGAATAAGAGCATGAAGGGGTTAACTTGATGATTGTTCTCACTCATAAACTTTAGTAACCATTATAACAGATTCATAGAAGCAATGGAATCGCCATAGATAATTGTTGGCCTAAAACCATCAAACTATTAAAATGATGATAGTCTACAATTGTACAATTCATTAGTAGACGCTTTTGACCAAAGTGACGTACATCTGAGAGTAAGTACAACACAACCAAGGATCTATATAGAAAGAAAAAACGTCATTAACAAACGGACAAAGGTGATGATAGGCAGTGCTCACACGCAATGCACAGAGTGTATAGAAGTTTTATGATTTTTTTTTTAATATAATCAAAAACAACATCAACAAGCGGCCACTTGATATCATCATCATCATCATCATTGTAAATATTCTTATCAACACTATCCGCAATATCTTCTTCATCACAACATCAGTAACATTAATATTATTAAGTTTGTAGGTGTTCATGACAGAGCTGGGTCTTTAAAGGGCCTCCGCAAGATTGAAGGGAGTTTTTTTTTAAATCAATTCACCGAGGGCCACAGAAGAAGAGAGTCCAGCTACTTATGGCCCTGTGGTGAAGTTAGGACCGAGCACCTTTCATTGGCAGTGCGTAGCTGGCGGAAGGGAGTATACACCTGTATGAGGGAGTGAAGGCAGGCAGGAGCTTGTTTGTTGTTGTTTCGTAAGCGAGCAACAGGGTTTTGAATTTGCTGTGTTCAGCTACTCGGAGCCAGTGGAAGGACTTGAACAGCAGAGTTAGATGTGTTGTTTTGAGTTGGTTAAAGACCAGTCATACTGCTGTGTTCTAGCTCTTCTGCAGAGGTCTGAATGTGCATGCAGGGAGACCTCCCAGCAAGGATTGTAGTATGAACAATATAAAAAGAGCCCATACCAGGATCTGTGTTGCATGCTCTGACAGGAAGGGCGTGATCTCAGACTCTATGCTGAAAAGTTGGCAGTCATTTTAGAGATTTGTATGAGATCGGAGTCCAGCAAAGACTGAGATCATGTGTCTATTTCTTGTGTTTTAATGTAATGTGTGTAAACTATGCAGTGGTGCTCTGGTTCTTTTTGTTTTCATGTTTGTATCTTTCATAATGAGACTCTGAGCATTCAAAGGACGTGGCTTCCCCAATTAGATAGTTGCTGTGCTGGTTGCTTTTCACCTTTTAATGTTTTTGTTGTAATAGTGAAGAGTGAAATAAAAGTGATATCCCTGTCCGTCTATTTGTAGTAAATTAAATTTACAGACAACATGGCTTAACAGTAAAAACATTAGAAGTAGACACAATTAAAACAACCTGAAATCAAAATGAACAGATTCTTATTTTAGTGCTCAGACCTTTTTCACCTGTTGACTCATTGTGTCCCATGTCTTCTTGACTTGGTGCATGAGAATTATGCCTCATCCTATTTTGAACTAAATTTCCCCCATAAGGACGGTTTATACATGTCTACAGAGCTGAGTGTTTGACATTCAGAAGACTTGGTGAACCACTTGTTGTCACTTCTGTGGAGTTTTTAAAAATGAAGCATGTTTCTGACTCCATTGGTGTCCTCACCCAATGTCGTGTTGGTTTGATGGATGTGTTCTCTGAAGATCTTGTTTCTTGCTTCATGACAATAATGAGCAGGACAGGGTGGACCAGGCGGACCTGGTGGACCCCTCGGACCAGGTGGACCTTGGAAAAATACATGCAGAAGCAGAAAATCCGGCTTATACAACTGAGCTAAAAAAAAAGACTAATTACATCACAACAATAAGAAATAACAGAAACAAATAATAGTGGTAGTCTACAGTTGTTCTTGATATGTGAGAATGTTACATTTTCCACTGTGATTTTCAAACTTTCATTTGAGATTTTTTTTTTCCCATTGATGTTGCAGAAATAATATTATTTTCCTTAAATAAAATCTGAAGTTCAGTCTGTCTATTACGTCAGGATAACATGATTGTATTGTGTTTGTATTTGTTTGTCACCTCTCACCTTCAATGAAAATGTCATTATAGGTCTCGCCTTTCAGTCGAGGAGGACCAGGGTCTCCTTTAGGTCCTGGTTCTCCTTTTTCACCTGGAGGTCCTAGTCATTGAGAGGTGTTGCCATTAGTTAAACCTCAGAGTCAAAACTGGAAAGAAAAGCAGGAGGTTCATACACACCAAACAGCATTTAGCTGTAGTCTGCACAGTTAACACTTTCCTGCTTAACCTACCTTTAGTTTCCCTGAAGAATCAAATGTGGACAAAGTGTCTGCAGACTCGCTCGAACAACTTAGACTGTTTCAGACTTTAGTTTCAGAGTTTATTCATCTGCTCTAGTCCACACTTCTTCTATGTTTAGTCTACAGGAAGCAGTGAGTAGAAATATAATTGACTTCAGATCTCTCACCTCTTTTTCCTCGCCTCCCCTCAGTCCCTGGCACACCCTGAGGTCCTGGTGAACCAGGTCTACCACGCAAACCTAACAGGCAAAAACACTGTGACTGATGGACACAACTCACCTACATTACTTACATCATGTAGTAGATGCGGCTAACTGAAGTGTCTGATTTTACCTGGTGGGCCAGGTGGGCCTGAGGGAAAAATAAAGAAAATGTACATAAATCCAATAACGTAAAAGCGTCAGAGACCATAAAGACCAAAGCACTGGAATGGAGACTATTTATGAAGTGTACCTGTTAAACAAATTCCTCGGAGCTGTTACACAGATTCATGAAGGTTTTGATCTGAAAAACAGAAAGAACCATCGGCGAGGTCAGGCCTGATTGTTAGTACACCTGGAAGCTTTCTAAGGTCAGGCAGATTGATTTTTAAAATTACATGAAAGAACGTGGACATCTTTTCAAATATAACTTTGCCTTTTGTTTTAGGAATTTAAAAGAAGATCGTCTTTTTTTGTCCACAGCATTTACGTGGTCATTTCTTAAATGTCCATTAAATCCTTAGTCAGTTGACAAAAGCAGACGAGATGAGCAGATGACACACTTGAAGCTTAATAATTAATAACTGAATAATTAAGGGGAAGATACGATACTTAGTTGCAGCCTTTACAGTTATTGATTTATAGTAATTATCTCATGAATGATTTAACTTAATGTTTGCAATAAACTTGATGCCTTGTTTGACAGTGTCTGCAGATTTTTTTAAAAGCCTGTACAGCTTAACAAACTGATCTCAGGACTCCTGTTAATTAATGTGCATCTCTATATCTAATCTCTATTTGAAGGAAAATACACATAAACACATAAACATAATCATGCAGTCAAACAGAATCTGCTGAAATGCCACTCCCTGTAGTTGTAATTACAGAGGAGGGAGGAACAGGAAACACTCACGCTCCACTGCATGCTCAAAGTGTTTATTCAGGAAACACTGAGAGGAAAAGAAAACTCCTTCTTAATCTCTGCAACAGACTCTGAGATTCTTTGCATCATTCATACGTGCTTCTCATCCCAAAAGGGAAAAAAGAGGAGATGTTTCTGTTGAATGTGACAGCAAAGAGTTGCTGATTGTTCCGCTGTTCTCTCTCATAACAACACAATGAGACATTTATGAATCACTCTTTCATTCAAGCAATCTGAGTCTGCAATAACTTCTCAATAAGAGCCCACATTTACGTTGTGTATCTTACAGGAACCATGGAGTAGGTCATCAGCATCAGCATATCCTTTTCTTCTTGGCTTTGTGTCACTTCCCCTTCCAGGTTTCTCCTGCTGCGGTGGAGCTCCGTCAGCCCTCCATCCACTACAGGCTCGGTGGGCTTGATTCCCACCTTTACCCCGCAGCTCTGCCACAGCACCTGCATCTGTGCGTCCAACCTGACCAGCTCCTCTGTCAGCTCTTTCTGTCGAACCAGCAGAAACACCAAACATGCTGAGCACAGGAGCAGCAGCACACAAATCCCAAACAGAAGCACCTTCCACACGAGGAAACCTCCACTCTTCTTCTTCATGTTTGCTGCGTCGTAGTCCTCTTCTGCAAAGTGATCTGTGGGCTCTGAAATTCACAAGCACATTTCTGAACACTTGCCAGCAGATGAGACGTCAGAGGGAATCTACTCTGTAAGCTGCTGCAGAGGAATAAACATGTCAAAATCTGTCTGTACGTACAGTGGGAACCATGTGATGCATTGCGCAACAAGTAGCATCTGGCAAATAGTTACAATCTCAAGTCACACTTGGTTTAGAAGCAATCAATGGAATATTTCCAGAGTGACATGTTGTGCACAAATTGTACTTCTCATCATTGTAGTGCTCTTCTTCTCAACATCGTCTCCAGACTGTCCCACACAAAATTACATGGAAGCGGAATAAATAAGTAGTGAACAAGAGGGGCATTCTCTGGATCAACAAAAGAGCTTTCAGAGCACTTTCAGTAAAAGACTGTGCGTGTGAGGATGTTCGTGTATGTTGCAATCGCCTTTTCATTGATGTTTTTTTTTTTTTGTTATTGCATTCTGAATTTCCCCTTAGAGAAGAGTGTTTTTTTTTGTTTTTTTCTTGATCTGGACAAGTAAAAATAAAGTTCCTCCAGTCATTAAAAGAGGAGAGCGAGTTTTCCAGCCAACTTGGGATAAAAGCCCCCCCCCCACCACCCCCCCTACCCCACCCAAACCCTGTAATAGAGGCCAACATCTTAATCTACAGCCTTCCATAGGTGCCAAGAATAAAGAACAGATCACTTTTGTATTAATTCTCATTTTTTTGAGAAAGGAAGAAAAATGAACCTGACATACAAAATTACATTTGTTAGACTTTCAGTGTTTTTAAAAGACAGAGATGTCATTTTCCCTCTTTCCCCTCTGTCTCTTTTTTTAAAGTGCTAAATCCCTGCTCCCTTTGACACAGGTCAGGCTGACCCAGCTGATGAATTTCCCCTTGAAAAGACTCCTCAGTGAATGAATAAGACATCATGCTTTCTTTCGCACAAAACTAACCCTATTAAAATAAAGTACAACTGATGAAAGACCTGCGGGTTTTGCATTCTCATTATTTGAAAAAGGTTTCTTAGCAACCAGTAAAGTGAAGGCTTAGCCGAGGGTTTATATAAACACTTGATCCACTCAGATTTATTTTGTAGGAGAGTTTTGAACATCAGAGGCTCTGCATCTCTCCAAAATGCTCTGTCAGGAGCAGGAAAGAGTCAGAAAGTAAGTACTAATCTTTGAGAACAGGGCGATAAAGAACTGAAAAGAATAGTCCTAAAAATCTTTTTTTTTAGAGATGTCAACAGATACATTTTGTGGATAATATTTGAACTCATCTTGACTTCACTGCATTTAGAAAGAGAATTATGTGGATGTTCCATCAAGTGAGTCTGAAAGTTAAAACTCTACTAGCGTTTTCATTACTAATTAATAAATATCAATGATAATATTATTTGTTGGAGCCAAATGAGGTGTTTGCTTTGTGTGATGCTATTTTCCTTGTGGTTGTGTGTGTTGGCCCTCTACTGGGCACTATGTGTGGCCTGGTTAAGACCAGGCTTCAGGTGAGGTGGGACATTCCACATTTCCACATTCATCCCTCAAGTGACTTTTCTAAACAATATTGGGTTTGTTAAAATTGTTCACTACAATTTAAGTAAAAAAAAACTTTGCTTTAATGGATCTTCGTTCGCTGGGTCTAAGAGCAGATCGATTGGACAGCGTTGGATTTCTTAGTTTCCTTGTGGATTATAATTGAGCTGGAGCCGTATCAACACCGGTACATCGTAAACTGAGCACCGGGACAAAGTGCACTCTTGGTCGGTCATCCACGGACTGTGAAAAGGACACGAATCAGGTACGCGTAGCGCTACAAGCATTATGGTCATGTTTTATTTGTGTGCACACGTTTATTTTTGACAATCAAACCCGGTATTTGGTTTGAACTGGGGATTAAAAGAGCTCTGATTTATGCATGGTATTTTTTGTTGTGGTATTTGATTATTATCATGAGTGATGATCTACTTCATTTGATTAGCTAAATATGGATGGTGAATGAAGTTTGCTGGTGATGAGCCTGCTGCTGCTCGCACACCACTGCGGGTGCGCAAGGGGTTGACAACGAAACACACGTGATACCAAAACGTTCAGTGAAATTGACCGAAAAAGCATTTCTGGACAAACTTCAGAAGTCCCGGAAAGCAAAACTAAACAAGGCATTTTGTTTAAAAAACAATGCAAAACTTAATGCAAGACAAAACATAAAACTGAGGTTCACTGTACATTCGACAAATACAAAACTCTATATGAAGAGGCAAAGGAAACCCACGAAACTCTCATGCAAGTTCTACCTCCCAATGAAATGGAGAAAAACGAAATATGGTTTAAAGCAAAAATGTTGGGTTTCAATGAATTTTCTATCCGATGTGAAAGATGGATGTCTAAAGCAATTTCAGGATCCGAAAGAAACGAGGAAAGAGTTGAGAATGAAATAAATCCGAGTGACAGCATTTCAAATATTGGAACCAAAGTTTCAAGCACAAAATCAAGCAGAAAAAGTCATACAAGATTCAAGGACCACAAATGACGGCAAAGCTGATACTGACTCTGCGCGCATCCAGGCAGAGGCAGAGAGAGATCTGTTTTAAAGGAAAAGCGCGCACTGGAGGCGCAAGCTGCGTCGCTCAGGAGGAGACAGGAGAAACTTGAGTTTGAAACGGAGATGGCAGCCTCAGCAGCAAAAAAAAAAAAGCGGTGTTATCAGCGTCCAGTCATCAAGCTTTTTCAACAACAAAATCAAATGGAATGGAATCATATTACAACTATATCAACAAAATCCAGATGCTTATATGAAAACAGCACAAACCGAAGTTGAAGACAAAAGTGGAATTTCAACAACAGTGCACAAACGGCCAGCAGACAAACCTGTGTTGAACCCTTATGAACAAATAACAAATCCTGCATTTCAGTTCCAACCATCTTTCCCAGAAAATCACAACACACCAGCTTTGTACAATATACTGGAAAAACAAAATGAAATCACCTCACTAATAAAGCAGCAATCTTTGAATTTACTGCCACCAAGAGAAATTCCATATTTTGATGGTGATCCTCTGCAGTACAACACTTTCATCAGGGCTTTTGAACATTGTGTGGAACATCACACCAACAACAAAGGGTACTGCTTATATTACCTTGATAAGTATACAAGAGGTCAGCCAAGAGACTTTAGCTGCCAGCACATGGCTTCAGACAGAGGATATTCTGCAGCCAGGCACCTGTTACAGGAGCACTTTGGGAATGAACACATTATTACTGCAGCATACGTGGAAAAAGTACTAAAATGGCCTGAAGTTAAACAGGAGGATGTGAAATCTTTGCAAGCATACGCACTGTTTTGTACGAGAATGTTGTAATGCAATGGAGGACCTACAGTACATGAGAGACTGGATATGCCTGCAAATATGAAGACAATTATCCTCAAACTTCCGTACAAACTTAGAGAAAAATGTCGAAGCTCTGCATGTGACATGTTGGAAAAATGTAATCGCAGAGCTCAATTCATGGATATTGTCAAGTTCATCGAACGTCAGATGAAAATATTGTCTGACCCTGTGTTTGGAAACATTCAGAACACACAACACTGCACAGGAAGTAAAAACCCAAACAGAATGAAATCCCAAGCCAGGCCAAACTTCAAAGGCAACAGTTTTGCAACAACTATTACTGCTATTGAAACATCATCTTCTCCGGAATCCAGACAAAACAAACCTTTTCAACAGGAAATGCGTCCATCTACAAAACAATGCAGCGTCTGTATATGCTGTGCTCAAGGTCACACACTGGATAAGTGCCCCCAAATGGACAGGAAAACCCATAGGGACAAGATAAACTTTCTAAGAGAGAAAGGAATCTGTTTTGGATGCCTCCACCCTGGACATTTGAGCAAGGACTGTGATAAGCGCCGTTCTTGCAAAATCTGCTGCCAGAACCATCCTACTCTTCTACACATTAAACAAAAAGCTAAAGCTGACTACACAAACTTAGCACAGCAAAAAGAAACATCAGTGAGTAGTACAGTTGTTTCTTTGCAAGCATGTGATCATACAGGGGCCGGTAACAGTAGTAGCAGTGAGGGGATTCTATCCATTCTGCCTGTACAGATAAAGTCAAAAAAGGGAAATGTAATCATACAGACATATGCTTTTTTGGATCCGGGTAGCACAGCCACCTTTTGTTCTGAAACACTTATGAAAAAGCTGAAACTAAATGGAAGGAAAACTCACATCAGCCTTCAAACCATGGGATCAAAATCATCAGTTCCCAGTTATGTGTTGGAAGGTCTGGAGATTGCAAGTCTGAATGGCTCAATTTTCTATGACCTTCCAGAAATCTACACACAAAAGAGGATGCCTGTTAGCACACATAACATTGTCAAGGAAGAGGATTTGGCCATATCTTAATGATGTTCATGTCCCTCTCATTAAATCTGAAGTGGATGTATTGATTGGTACCAATGCGCCCAAATTGCTGGAACCCTGGGAAGTTATAAACAGTGTTGAAAATGGACCCTATGCCATTAAGACCCTATTAGGTTGGGTTGTTAATGGTCCCTTGCATGGGTGCAGTGACGAGCAATGTGAGACTGGCCACCCCGCTGTTACTGTAAACAGGATCTCTGTGGAAACCCTGGAAAAAATGCTGGCTTGTCGGTACGATCATGAGTTTAATGAAAAGGCGTCAGATGACAAAAAGGAGATGTCAAGGGACGATGAGATAGTTCATGAAAATCATGGAACATTCAGCACACACTTCAGGATGGACACTGCAACTTAACACTTCCTTTGAAAACTGAGTATGTGTCCCTTCCAAACAATAAATGCATAGCATATCAGCACATTCTTGGATTGAAGAGGAAGTTTGAAAAAAATGAGGCTTTTCATCAGGAATATACCAACTTTATGAATGATGTCATCAGTATAGGATATGCTGGACTTGTGCCAGAAAATGAAATGGAAAGATTTGATGGAAGTGTATGGTATATTCCACATCATGGAGTGTATCATCCAAAGAAAGGAACACTTTGGAACAGTGTGGTATTTGATTGTGGAGCTGAGTTCAAAGGGAAATCTCTCAACAGTCAACTTCTGCAAGGTCCTTACCTCACCAGTTCTTTGTTTGGAGTTCTCACACGATTCAGACAAGAACCTGCGCATTAATGACTGATGTTCAAGCCACGTTTCATCAAGTCAGAGTGACGCAAACAGAAAGAGATTTCCTTCGGTTCTTGTGGTGGCCTGAAGGTGATGTAAGGCAAGAACTTGTGGAGTACAGAATGACTGTGCATCTGTTCGGTGCAGTGTCTTGACCAGCTGTGCTTGTTGTGCACTTAGAAGAACTGCAGAAGACAATCAAAGTAGCTTCCCTGCTGAAGTCATTGACACAGTAAAGAACAACTTTTACATGGACGATTGTCTTCAGAGCTTGCAGTCTGTGGAGGAAGCTGCCAAAATGGTAAATGATCTGACAACTCTGTGTCAAAAAGGAGGCTTCCACTTGACTAAATGGATAAGCAACAATCGTGAAGTGTTACAATCCATACCCAAACAAGAAAGATCAAAGAATCTGCAAGATTTGGATCTGGACAAAGACCAACTACCAGTTGAAAGAGCCCTTGGCCTGCAATGGTGTGTCGAGACAGACACTTTCAAATTCAAGATGTCACTCAAGGAACAGCCAATTACTAGACGTGGCATCCTATCTGTGGTCAGTTCAGTATTTGATCCTTTGGGCTTTCTCGCACCGCTCACTCTTCCAGCCAAACTTATTCTACAGGATCTGTGTAGGAAGAGTTATGGCTGGGATGATCCAATTCCCTTAACTCTCCAACAACAGTGGACAAAATGATTGACAGACCTGGAAGGAGTGCAAGCATTCACGGTGGATAGATGTCTTAAGCCAACAGTTACAATAATAGCAATTTTTACAATTAGATATATTACAAGTGAGTAGACACTGGATTTGTGTGTTCTTTCTCTTATTTCTTTTTCAATCATTACTTTGCATACATACTATTATTGTAATTATTGTTACAACAATTATTGATGCTGTATTATTATTAGTATAGTTGTAATATACTTATATTATGACTATATAGAATTGCCTAATTGATATAGGGATGTATTGGAAGTACACTTGCTAAATCTATTTAAGTATATACATCTACATTTTCTCTGGTTATTCATGTATTATTATTTTTTTTTTATCATTATTATTTATTTATATGTTTTTGTGTCTATTTGAAACACACCACAAAATGTTCATGTTGACAGTGGATTTGCTTGTAAAGTTTTATGTTTTCCTAATAAACAAATCTTTAAAAAAACAAACAAACATGCAACTATTTACAAAGGGAACATTTGGGACGGTTAGCCTAATTCATGACACTTCTTTGAAAACAAAAATCTTTTAAATGTCAGTGAGGACGATTCAGAAGTTCATCAGTGTTTGTCTCGTGTGGGATCTGAGGGTTTAGGTTTGTGTCGTCCGTTTTCTCCAATCTGAGGATAAACTTGAGGTAAACTGAGGACATTTGTTTTACAAAGAAAGGGTGGAATGATGCTTTAGGAGGGAACTTGAATTTTGTGAATATGAATTCATTGTGCACATGTTTGTTCAGTATGTTGTTATTATAATCATGTGAAAAAAAAGTCAAAGGAGGAAATAAATGTATCTGGTAAATTGATATGAATAACATGAATCTGTCATCCACTCGCACTCTTTGTTTGCTCGCACTCACTCAGTCTGTATTATGATATCAGATGGTTTTTTTTGTTTAGATGTTTATTGCCATTTGCACAGGTACAGGACAGTACAGGTACATTGGAATTCTTGTGCGTTTCTCCCTGAGTCAGCTTCTACAAAAAAGTTAAAATTACATATAAAATAGAATAGCATTGTAAGAAAAAAAGAGAGTACAAAAAAGTAAAAATAAATAAGTTGTATTAACAGCTAAGTAAAGATATAATACAAAAAAAATAAAAAATAAAAAGGGGAACACTGTACAATGACATGAAAATATAAATATGTTTTATGTGTTATTATCTCTTATTGCACCTGAGGTTATTGCACACATATTTTTCACATTATATAATTGCACTGTTTTTTGTTTTTAAGGTTAATATTGCAGTATTGCACTGTGAGGTGGTCAACTGTCCATTTAGTCTGTGAGGTGTGGGGTGAGGTACTTCCTTCCCATCTTAATGTCCTGTGCTACAAGTCTCACGGCAGCAGGGAAAAAGCTGTTGTGGTAGCGGGCCTTGTGGGTGGAGATGCTCTCTGGCCTGTGATGTCGCAGGTTATAGCCCGAGTTCTTCCACCTGAACAGAGCATGAGCTGGGTGCTGTTTGTCCTTGAGGATGCTCTGTGTTAATTTTCCCTTCTCTTTTTTTTTTTTTAAAACAAACGGATGAATGTATTGTGTGTTAGTTAAAGGAGACAGCTGTGTATAAGCACACATCAGCCTGCACAGGTGTGTGTTCCTGGTTGGAGTATAATGAACGGGATACCGCCGTTAGACACACTCACCTCTACCATGTTGGCCAATATATCGTCTGAAGTCTCCACCTTTCTGCTCCTCCTGCTGCTGCTGCTGCTCTTCACCTGGAGCAGCTTCACACACCGCTCACCTGTACCAGGTAACTTCTGCTCCCCCACAAAGCCACAAAGCTTGTGCAGACTGATCCACAAACAAAATACTGTAGCTCTGCAGAGAGAGAAATAATATGACAAACATCTGCTCTAGAGAGCTACTTAGGTGTGTTGTGCTTTTAAGAGAGTGAGAGTGAGGAAGTCAAGTTATCTGCAGCACTTTGTGGATTAAAATAATAAAGATTTTTCTGATTTCCATACCGGAATTCCATGTTTTCAATAAATTTCTTTACAATTGTTTGATCAACTGGTACAAACATTTTGTAGAGTGAAAAATTAGGTAAGAAAGAAACAACAGAAAATGATGGAGATATTCTGTTCAGAATTCATCCTTTTCAAAAGATTCTATGCATCATACAGAATGAGTCTCCTATCGTCAGTGGCTTTATTTTATGACAAAAAAACAAAGCTGTGATGAAATCTTGTCCAATTACCAGACCTGATAACAAAATGTTAATTTTAGAATATTTTTCCATGCTGACTCTGATCGTTTTTAAGTCGTTTTTTAGCCCAGAATCATCTGAACATACTTATTAGTAAAGTACTTTCACGGTCCCACATCTTCTTGAGCATGTGGATGCTGTTGAAAAATATATCTAACCTTAAGTTCTCCCAGTCCTGTATTGACATTATAAACTGACCCTGCTGTCCCACGCAGTATTTGTTCAGCCCAGTCAGATTTTGAAGGCTTTGGTATATACAGTATATAATTTATAAGATGTTTGAGGCCTTGACGATATCTCAATGCTGAAAAGAAAATCACTCATATTCCAAATTATTTCTCAAGAATTTCTATCAGAAGGAGTATTGAAAAAAAGGCACATTGCTCCCTCAAATCTGAGAAGCTTAGTCTTCTTTCAAATGACTCTTAACAAACTGTTCACTGGAGCTCTGTGTCTGCAGTGTTTCTTTTGATGAATGCAAAAGTCAACTCAACAGACTGGAAAAGTGCAACGACAGGAATTTACTATGCCTTAAATTATCTTTCTTGAGGTCCTTCCTTCTTGGCCGGACTTGGTCCTCTCCTCACCTACAGCAGATTCATCTTGACCGGGATAGGCACAGCGTGCAACTACTACAACAACAAGTATGGCAGCATTGTGCGGGTCTGGATTAACGGCGAGGAGACTCTCATTCTGAGCAGGAAAGTCTCTTGAGATTCAAAACCCTTTGCACTTTTACAGTTTATCCTGAGGATATGTAAATCAAGGAAATCTTTGCCCCTCTCGCAGGTCCTCAGCAGTGTATCATGTTCTGAAGAGCGCCCACTACATAGCCAGATTTGGGAGCAAAACAGGGCTGGGGTGTGTTGGGATGGAAGGGAGGGGGATCATTTTTAACAGTGACGTCCAGCTGTGGAAGAAAGCCAGGACATATTTTTCTAAAGGTGAGGTAATATCTTCCCACACATTTTCTAACGCAATAACAAAAGCATGTTGGACATTTCTGACCTGCTGCTTCATGGCAGTTGAAGTTGTGGTTGTTTTGCAGCTCTGACAGGCCCCGGACTCCAGAGGACAGTGGGAATCTGTTTAAGCTCCACAGCCAAACATCTGGAGCGCCTGCAAGACTTGACGGACGCCTCCGGACATGTGGACGCTCTCAATCTGTTAAGAGCCATTGTGGTGGACATCTCCAACAGGCTTTTTCTCAGGGTGCCACTTAATGGTCAGCTGCTTCCTCACAGCATGGATTTAAACTCTGTGATTTTCTGCTGCTCCTGACTCTGATTGTTTTTGTTCCTATGACTTAGAAAAAGACCTGCTAATGAAAATCCACAACTACTTTGAAACATGGCAGACAGTCTTAATAAAGCCTGATATTTTCTTCAAGATTGGCTGGCTGTACAACAAGCACAAGAGAGCAGCGTAAGAGCCTCACACATTAAAGTAATTCATCATACGCCTTCTGATCTAAAACCTTAGGGTTGCTTCTTGTGCCAACAGCCAGGAGCTGCAAGATGTGATGGAGAGCCTTCTTGAGACTAAAAGAAAGATTATAAATGAGTCTGAGAAGTTGGACGATGATCTTGACTTTGCAACAGAGCTCATCCTTGCTCAGGTTTGTATCCACTGATAAATCTAGCGTTGAAATGATGTGAAGTGTTGGCTGCATTTCTTCTTTTATTAACAGAACCACGGAGAGCTTTCAGCTGATAACGTCAGACAGTGCGTGCTGGAGATGGTGATCGCAGCGCCCGACACACTCTCCATCAGCCTCTTCTTCATGCTGTTGCTGCTGAAACAAAACCCAGACGTGGAGCTAAAGATAGTGGAGGAGATGAACACTGTCAGTAAGTGCATCTCTGCTGTTCTTCACAGCAAATGCATTTGTCTAATTTCTAGACAAAAAGATTTCATCAAATGTATAATAAGACACATTAACCTAAAAAGTCCAGATAAATGTCGTATTTCAAGAAATTAGAAGCAAAAATGTGTGAATTGTTTGGGATGAGTACAACTGTCTGACAATGCAAATGGCAAAATCTTCTATTAGTTTCTTGACAGACATTACATCTCATTTTAAAAAATGTAAGAGTTTTCGTCTCCTTAAAAAAAAGATGTTAATCTGGTCTTGTCAGGTGAATGCAGCGTAAATTAAGTATAAGATTTGGAATAAGACAAATACATTTCTTTTTTTGCAGTAGCTATCAAATGATTCCAATTATCCTTTAATGATGTCATTTTGATTTTCAGTAGAAAACAGTGATGGAAAAATTGACTATGAAAGCCTAATAGTGCTGGAGAGTTTCATCAATGAGTCTTTGAGGTTTCATCCTGTGGTTGATTTCACAATGCGAAAAGCTCTGCAGAACGACAACATTGAAGGCACTAAAATAGCAAAAGGAACCAACATCATCCTCAACATTGGTCTCATGCATAAAACTGAATTCTTCCCCAAACCCAGAGAGTTCAGCCTGACGAACTTCGACAGAACAGTGAGTCAGTGACAGATTTGAAACAAAGTGTAGCTTAAAAAAAAAAAAAAAAAAAACAGCAACTGAGTCTTGATCTCCTGTGTTTGCTGACAGGTGCCCAGTCGTTTCTTTCAGCCTTTCGGCTGCGGGCCCCGCTCTTGCGTGGGCAAACACATCGCCATGGTGATGCTGAAGGCCATCCTGGTGGCTCTGTTGTCTCGTTACACCGTGTGTCCTCGCCAAGGCTGCACCCTCAACAGCATCCGGCAGACCAACAACCTGTCGCAGCAGCCTGTGGAGGACGAGCAGAGCCTGGCCATGCGTTTCGTCCCTCGAAAAACACGACCTCCACACAGTCAGCTCTAAAACAAACACAGAACTGGTACAAGTGCAGGGAAAAGGTTGTACAAATGTTTGTGCTCTGTATCTTTGTTCGACGCTTCAAACTTTTTTTTTTTTAGAGTATGTAAACACTTAGTTTAAGACCTGTACTGACATAAAGAGCTACAGCCTTTAGAGTCCCTTTCACACATGACCTCCCGACATTTTCAGGAATGTGCCTTTCATCAATGCACCTCACAGCAGGATATCTTCAATGTCAAGCTTGCTTTCACAGCTCAAAATACCAAGTTTCATTGAGCTGGGTAGCGTGTGCAGGAGGAGGAGAAGGAGGAGGGTTAGTGCCATAATGATAACGGTTTCTGCATTAATATCACTACAACCTGTATTGAGACGCTCTTGCAACACAAATACAACAGTTCAAGTGAACTGAGGCGCCAGTAAATGTTTACTATTGTTGCCTTCATGTGCTCCTCAACTCAATTTACAAGTTAAGAGCACATGAATGGCTCTCATAAGTCCTAATTCCAAGAGGAAAATTGGGAAATTTCTATGATACCCACTTGCTAAGTTGACAACAGGAACAGGGACAACACACACACAGCATGCCAACAAGCCTAGTTTTTGGCAATAAAGCCAGCTAAGCAAATATTAGCTAATGATAATGTTATTTAAGCTTCTAAACTAATTCAAATATCAACTACATATCTGATGCGCATTCTTTGTTCTTCATTCTGCCGCTGAAGCCCAAAGGATCTCTGGGCTACTTACTTTTGGTGATTAAACTTAGCCTCAAAAAACAAAAACCTTATTCCTCTAGCTTCCTTTTTCTGGATTTTTCCGACCACAGCAATTACTACAACTGCACAACTGGGAATTACGATATTTCAGAGGAGCACATGAAGGCAGCCTATTACCCTCTACAGTCTACACATGAGCTCACTTGGACTTCACGCAGACATTGTAAAAGGGTTCTGGCAGGGGGAAAACTGCTTAAAGTCAGAGTGAACAGATATGACCATTTGCCTTCATACATGCATCCCACCCAGGCAATTAGGAGTCAGGAGTGTAGTGCATGTGTGAAAGGGGCTAACATCTCTCTTGTTGGTAATGTACTTAAATAAAGGTAGTGTTAGCATGTTGGATACATGGATAAAAAACATTGTTTCATACACAAAAGTATAAAGTAGAATACATTAAACATTTGCATTTGATAATTTATCCCATGTTATATCTGTAATTAAAAACAATGTTTTAAGAGACACTGATTGTTTCTTTTAAGGGTCTAAGTGAATGGAAATTATGTCTAAGGTTGTTTGACACCACAAGTTTTAAAGTGATACAATCCCGGTCATCTTGATTATCCATAGTTCAGAAAAGTACTGAAGCTTTGAAATAAATAAATAACCGATCTTCAGTTCTATTTTCAACCAAAAGCAGCTGAGAGTGAAAGAGAGAGAGAGCATTGTTTAAATAGCACACATGCCTTTGCGATGTATTTAGAGTGTGCAGGCGTTTGCCTACAAAAATAAATCACCCAAAATTGGTGCCTTCTCTTTCTGAGTTTGTTCCCATGGAAATTCAACTATTAATGTTGTTATTTTTATTTTTACTAGAATCATACAAAGTTTAATAATCTGTTATGGTTACAGCCAAAACTGTGTCAAATGTTAAAAAGTATGTGTCAATGTCTTTTTTTATATTTGGTAGGCCTAGTTTTTCATTTAATGCATTTTCACTTTGGCAATGTTTTCTCCATGTTCTGCAAAATTATTTCATGACTTACAGATGTTAATTAATCAGTAATGACGAGTCATATTCAGTTGGTTAACAGACGTTGGATTTATTCATAAGTTAGCAAAAAGTAGTGACAGGCACTCTAAGAAACAATGATTCTCTCTGTACCACAGGCACAAATCAAAAACGCCGCCACGGCATTACGTAGAACATAAGGCGTCTGGTTAAGTAGAATCTGTAACACATTTTTAAGCTTCACGCTGTGCTTTCAATCAGGACTCGGGTAAATCAGCAGTTAAGTAAACTTTCCCTTCAGGATGAATTAAATAAAACAGACTGCAATGAGTAAAATCTGACACAGAATTCAAACTGAATATGAAGCACAATGATTTGTTTTTTGAGAAATGAATATAAAATATTTTCTGTAAGAATATAAATCCAATAAATATGTTTTTAATACTGCTAAATACAAAAATATAATCATCCAAGACCACCCGAATCCACCAAATCTCACTGACACGGACTCACCGGAGACATGAGTGCATAGATAATCACAGCACACAGAAGGCAGCATCTACGAAATGCAAACGGGAAAACTGAAAAAAGCCCTGCTTCTCATCAACAAATAGACTGAGCTACCTTTAAGACAACATGCTGTCTTTGTAGATGCTTCAATCTGCCGCTCTCTGAGGACAACGTCAGCAAAATGTAATCCTTTAAACAAACAGGGCTGTAAACCTCAAACATTAAGACGTGCACGTTCTTCTAGAACAGCAGCTCTCTGCAAATATTACATTAAGAGTATTTTGAATTCTCCTACAATGTTTTGAAGAAAAATGGTACTCCTGTGAAATATCTATATTTTTCCTGTGTTTCATCTAAAACGTCCAATAAACGGAATTAACCATCCAATCTAATGCAAGAATGTGTGTTTTTCTTTCCATTTGATCTGTGTTTCTGCGCCCCCCCCCTCGCTTCTAGGCCTTAAAGCTAAGATCAAGTGAAGTATCTGACTTTTTAACATTTATAAAACGGTACGATGCTTAATGAAGAGTAGAGATAAATCTGTAAATGATTATTTCTTGTAAAAACTATGTTAACAAAAATAAGACTGCATGCATTATCTTTCATGTGGGCAAGCATGATGACCTAGAACAGATTAAAAAAAAAAAAAAAAAGGTGATATTCATAATTTCCACTTACAACCAAAAACACAGAGTATAAGTATTCTTTTCACTCACAATGTTTCAATCAATGTTTTCAAGTCATTTTGGAGCCCTGTCATCATTTTAAGACATCAGTGTTATTCTGAAACATCTCCAGAAGGAAAACAATACTTCTCTTTGGCCCTGAGGGTATTAACAGCCATTTCTTTCAAATATGTATGATCCAGTGAAGTATTTATAAATTAACCAATTAAAGATAAATGATTTGTGGACAAAAAAAAAAAACTCTGTTAATTTAAGAGGAAGAGACTTCTGCCCTGCTGCTCTGTGTACCTTTCACCTCAGCAGATGAGGGTGTTCATATTGTTCAGTGTTGTCAGTGTGGGGTTGTTACAGTTGGGGGGGGGGGGGGGTCAGTGCTCCTGTAAAGCTCTCTGGCAGTGGTAGATCAGGCAGTCAGGCAGGTCGGGGATCGGGGAGCGAAGCCACACGGCCAGCGTTCCTGCATTGATGCGACAGTGCATCAGACATGGCTGATCCGGGAGGAGCCGGCAAGCTACAATACCCTCCATACCTGTGGGTAAAAGAATAAAACATTATTACTCACTAATAATGTTAAACATGAGAGAAGCGGGGGTTGGATTTAATGCATGGAAAGTATTGGTGAAATACTAAATGTTTGCAAGGTTCATTAGAATGCTGGATGTTTTAAAATATTCTTTCCTGATAAAATATAACAGCGACCAAAACAGAAACTTAAAAAAAGTAACAAAAGATGATTAAAAGCTCAAAAGCTCAGAATTAAACGAGAAAGTCCACGTGGAGTTGAGGTTAAATGTCAAAAAGAAACTCTTAAATCTGTACCATTTTAAATAACTAAAACTTTGGGGAGTGACGTGCATGTGTGAGAGGGGCTTCGGATTACCTATGATTTCAACGACATGAAGCTGAAGTTTATTCTTCAGCACATTCAGAGTGGCAGTGAGAGATTCCCGGTCTTCCCTCATCAGCGTCAGGTTCTGCTTCGTATCGTGAGAAAACGCCAGCCACATCGTCCCGTACTCCTCTGTGGACACCGTCAAAGGTCTGAAAGAAACATGTGAAGACACAGTAAGCAGCTGATCCTCTTTTTGCAGCCACATTTTGAAATTCAAAAAAAGAAAATAGTCCACCTGATGAAGCTGGCTAGAGGCAGCTTGTATGAAAACTGAACCGACTGAGGTGTCCCGACAGAACACATGAAAGACATCACCCCACACACTTCAACAAGAACTGAAGGCCTCTTCACAGTCAGGCTGTACTGACACACAACTACACTGTCACCTCTCACCTCCTGCACAGGGCTCTCAGACACACTCGACACCTGAAATAACCAAAGAAAATACAATTTAATATGAAAAATATAACAAAGTTTCACAAAAAAATGTTCACCACAAAAACATACCTCAAGTTGATCTGAGTCCAGCTGTAGCAGCATCTGCTGAACGTCAGAGTCAGAGGAGTTTAAAATGAAAACGACGAGTGCTAAAGAGTCGTCTCCCTGCACATGACAGGCTGAGAGATGGAGGCTTTGGTGGGAGCAAAGAGCAGTGATTTCTGAGCGGGAGAGTCCGGAGAGCTCTGCAGGAAGATGAGAACTCAGACACAAGTCTGTAGGCTTGTCAGGGTCTTCAGCAGCTACAACACCATTATCCCTAATAATAGATGGGTTATTTGCCGTCACATCCCTGTCAGTTAAGTCGACATCACAGGTGCCGTTTGCAGTGCTGAGGTCCTGAGAGAGTTGTGGTGGAGACTGTGGTGAAGCTAAATCCAGTTCTGACGTGATGTTGGAGTCCAGGAGGTTGTTATACAGTAAGCTGTCCACCATGCTCGGAGGAGAGACGATGGAATTTGATGTAATCTCGCTGCTGCCTGAAGACGTGCCCGGACATCTTGCTTTTCTCCTGAACCGCTGGTTTGTCAAATCTGATTTGCCCATCTATTGAAAAAGGAAAACGTTTTAACAGACAATATGTCAAAATACAACTATTTTATTTATTATTACCCTAGGGACTTTTCACACTTAACCTGCAACAATGAGTCCTTTGATTATTTGTCAAACATCTGATTTATTGAGTAACTATTTTGATAATGGATTACATGAGTCTTAAATGTGAATATTGTCTGGTTTCTGTGTTCATCTATGACAGTATACTGAATGTCTTTGGATGGTGGACAAAATGCCAGTCGTATTTATTGTTATTTGACAGTTGTACCTCTAACAAATAAAGAGGCATAAAGAGCTCACCAGACACACAGAGCTCTGGGAGCCCAGGCCAACAAACAGCGACGAGGCAAGCTGCTGTTTCTCCTGCTCAGGCTCAGGAGTGGGTGTGGGAGTGGGAGTCTGGTTGTGTGACTTGTCAGCCTCTCCCTGCTGGCTGGGTGAGCGGAGGGGACTGGGAACCTCCACCTGGGCAGTCTCCTCAACAGACTCCCTCTTCGAGAGGTAGCCCTCCCTCCCCCAGACCCGCTTCACACCATCCAGCTTCAGAGTTGCAGAGCTGAAATCAAAAAACATGAATGATGCCGACAGTATGCTAGGCCTTTATTTTTATTTTTTTTTGGGATTTGCTATTTTAAATTCAGAGAGCAGAAGTATGCACAAAGTATCCACGCACCCTCCTTTGTGTGAAAGCTCAATGCTATCCCCTGACAGACCGGAGCTTACAGACAACAGTGTAGGAGACTGCCTGTCTCCGATGCTGCAGGAGGACATGCTGATGGGTAGGGACAGACCGTATGGCTCCAGGCTCAGAGCTGAGAAGACAACTTAGTCAGAGCACATCCAAACAAGCCAGCACACACACAGGTTACCAAGTCTGCCACATTACAGTATTCAAATAAGTGTCACCTTTCTCCTGAGCCAGTTCCTCTTGCCGCTGATGGGGAGGTTTGTATGGAGCGGCGCCAGCGGCCAACGCCTCCGACACAAATCCATCCAGAAATGACAGAGAGGAATCCACCTGCAGACCAAAACACACAGCTGTAAGTTTGATCTTCCATTGGAAAAGCCTCTGCAGGACTTTCAAACAGTATGTGAGAAAATGTAACAACCCCTTCATTTAACATATATTATAATTACAACGAATGTCACAAAAAGAACTTCAGGATGTCCTTAAACAGCCGGTTGTGAATTTAAAATGTTATTGTAGATCTCCTCATGATTAACAAAAAGCCTCAGCACAAAGGAGTTCTGTGGTTAAACCAACCCATCTCATCACACCACACATGCCACGACAGATGAAGCTTAATTTTTGTTATCCCTTTTATTTTGAAAAATACTGACAAAACTGTAATTAGCCGTGTCATTCAAGTTTTTGCAAGTTTTTTCCGACCGCTCAGAATCAACAAATGCTCTGCAGGTGAGGGATTCGGCTTTTGGAGCAGGTTTTTTTTTTAGTTTTTTCTGGCAAATAAAGTTCCAACACCGGCCAAAAGTATGAAAACACAAGGTTTCTTTAACCAGTGTTTACTGACTGGTAGCAACGAATCAGTGGTCTGGCACGTGTCTATGTTACCTCCAGGGGTTCCCGGCTGGCGTCTCGAGGCAGCACCCTGGCTCGTAGTTCAGAGTCTTGGCTGAGGTGCTGCAGCTCCTGAGCCCTCTGTCTCAGTGCTGTGTCCAGGGAGCTGCTGTATGTTTCAGAAACCTCCCGAGCCACAGAGACGCCCGCCCTGCCCTCACACAGCTTGGTCATGGCTACGAGCACCCAGCTCTTGGTTTCACTGCTGGTGTTCTTAGAGTCCAGTAGTTTAGAAAGCAGGCTCAGGACTGTGGCCGGATCAAGTTCCTCACTTAAATGGGAGTATTCACCGAGGACCTGTGCAGGGCGAAGTAAAGCCGGAGATTTAGTGTGCTCAACATATTGTGTTCTGATCTCAAGTCTGTCCTTCTTCACCCCTCTGACGAGCCATCAGAGGACACAGCAACACAACTCGAAATAAAGTGTTTGGATTATGACCAAACATGATTATGATTATGAAATGACCTGCCTTTGTATATATCATTTGTAACACACTATTTTCTTCTTACATTTGCTGTTCTTTGAAACCCTGGGAATGTTAAGTAGTCTTTACTCAAACACTGATCAGAGTCTTGGCTGAGGTGCTGGAGCTTTTGAGCTGTTTCACCTCAGCTTCTTCACTGCTCTTCCACTAAAAACAATACAAGCTGCTCATAGTGCTCTTATTGTGCAGAAAAGCTCTCACCCAGCTGATGACCTGGAGGAAGCGCTGGGGGAGTTTACCAGGCCCTCCCTGCAGCAAAGAAACGTATGAATCCACAGCAAACTGCCTCAACTTTCTGTCTTCCTCCACGCTATCAAATCCTGCAGCATTGCAGAGAAATGAAAAGAACAGAACAATGACCATTATCAGCTATAAACGACCGAACTTAAACATTGTAAGAATGCGTTAAGTGTGTGGCTTATCTCACCCTCAGACAACAGTTTAAGGAAGCTGTTTGGGATATCAGGCTGCATCACGTCTCCACCCACTGAAAACACTGTGTTCATGGTCTCAATGAACCACTCATTGTCCGGGGCATATGTAGAGTGGTATATAGGAACACATCAACGCAAGATAGGGAACAAATAAGATATATAAAAACAATTTAAAATGTTATTTAAAAAAGCAAATATGAAATGTTGTGGCACATTATGTTCTATTAAATAGTTGTAGTAAAAAAAAAAACAGAAAAGTCATAAATGTCTTAATATACCACTGAAGAAAACAGCATTGCCTTCAACTGTGTTTTACTAACGTTTAAGCGGCATCGGTATAAGAATCATGAAGAGAATAATCTGCATTTGTTTGCCTCATAAACTGTATAAAAGAAGTGGAAAAATTGAAGCGTTGTGCTCAGCATTTGGAGTGTGTCGTTAGGCGTCATCATGAACACAGGGGTTGATCTGGAAAGCATAGTGTATGTCTGTAACATAACTACACCTATATTCCAAATGGCAGGCCACTGTGGTAGCAAATTGTCAATCACACGGCAGGTGGAGCTGTGGTCTCCATTTTACAGAGCCATCATTTAAAATATAACCATCATGCTGTAATAAAGAAGACCTGAAACAACGATTGAGACAATAACCTCATTAGGCAATGATTTCTAATGTTTATCAAGGAGGATCATTTTGTGATGTACTCACACAATCGCTTCTTTTGGTTTTTTTTTGCAGCTACTGAGATCGCCCTCTGCTGGCCTTTGGCAGACATGCAGGTTTAAGGCGCCTCAGCACTGGATTCATTTTTTCTCATCAGTGGATGTAGCCACCTGTTATATGTATTCTATGTTTGAGAACCTTTTAACTGCTAGAACTTAAGGCTTATTGGGCAAGACAGAAGGTTTCCATTTCTAAGAAACAAATGGGATTTTGGTGGCCTTAATAAAAACACTTTAGTCTGTGTTTAAGCTCAGTGAAAAGCTGAAGGTACAACAAGTGAAAGAGGAAGCACTTCTTTGCCACCATAAGTTATGCAATGCACAATATTTTGTTGACAGTGACGTTCCTAAAATAATTGGTTTGAATAATATGAAGAAATGTATATGACATGGAGGGGCTGTTGTTTAATGATCAATATGAGTAAAGGATATTTTTCTGCCAGTTCTGCGACCTTTCCCACCAGGTCAGTGGTAGTGTAGTCGTCTTTACTGATCCGCAGAAACTCCAGCATCTTTTCCACGATGACCGTCACGTTCTGGGCGTTAGTGATCCGGAACAGCAACTCCAGTGTCTACATGAGGGGGGTGAGAAAAAAAAAACGCAAAATCTGTTAAGCCTACAACAGTATGAAACCAAAAACTAGCCTACACGAGTATGTGGCTCACCTCACGCTTGATGATGAGGTCGGGGTGATCGAGGCATTCGATGATGGTCATCTGATGCTGCAGGGCCAGTCTAGGATCCTGCTGGACCACATAAGTGAGGGCCTTCAAGCCTACAGTAAAAAAATAAATAAACAAACAGTCAATGCATGGAAAATATACAATCTAGATGATCTTTAACTTTTAAAAAAAGTGTTCTTTGGATCTTACCAAGATATTTGAGGTTAATCTTCTGCGACAGAACAAAGTTGCCAATGCACTTTGCAGCTTTTTCCAAAAGTTCCGATTTGGGATGAATTGTGTAAATACATTTTACACACTCGTACAATATTGCTGACAAAAAGAGAGATCACAGAAAGTGAAGAAGTCTGACTTTTTCAAAAACTTTTTTTTTTTTTTTTTTTGAAAATGGGTACTTTAAATTTGTCATACCATAAGTGATGTTGTGATTCATCTCTGCTCTTCGTAAGGACTCGTCGAGGACTTCATACATGATCTCACTTGTGCTGTTGAACAAAAACCAAAGTCACAATTTGAAAGAAGTTGGACAAAAAGGGAACCACTGATTACAGCTTTTACACACACAAAAAAATCTAGAGACAAACCGAGTCATAAAAAGTACCTGTGGTCATTTTTCCCAAGCAGTGAAAGTATTCTGAGAAGCTGAATCTGCAGCCATGGAGCAGGGACACTGTGATAGTTAAAATCCATGGGCAGTTTTCCTCCCACCACTTGCTTCAGTATGGTAACAACACTTGCTGTCAGGTCCTTATAACCTTCTGGATTCTCCTATTACAAAAAAAAAGTTATATGACTGAATTACATCAGAGCAGATCAAATCAAGATGTCTGTATAAACACAGGTTGTTTGTGGAACTACCTTGATCATCTGTAGGTAGATGTGCAGTGAAGCCGTCATGACACCAGGATCCTTGTCACACAGAGCTTTGCGAAACTTATTGTGAATGTGTTGAACTTGATTCGGAGCTATTTGGTAGAATTTATACAGCGCCAGGACTGCTTTCCGACGTATGATCTCTCTAGAAATGTCAGGAAAGAAAAAATAAAAACACTCCTTTAAGTTTTAATCCTCTGGTTAATCGCATGTAAACATACACCCGGACACATACAGATAAGTAAAAAGGCTGGAAAAAAAAACATGTATTACTTTGGGTGATTAAGTTTCTCCTCCACCAGAGGGAGGATCGCAGGAATCATATCTTTGGGGAACATCTGGCTGACCACAGTAAGAGCCATGCACACTTCAATAAGGTTTGTGCTCTGAAGATCCTGAAAACAAAACAAAAAATAGGTCAACATCCCTTTTTTCTGAAACCAGACGACAAAGGCTTTAACAGCTCAACACCCACCTTTAGTACGGTATTCACAAGAAGAAGAAGCAGCTCGTGATCCTCGTTCAGAAACAGAGAGACAGCCAGGTAACCTGAGAATCATACAGACAGTTGTTTTCTGCTCGGAGAAAGATGCAGTGGTGCTGTACAGTTAAAGAAAATGATTTCGCTGTCATGAATAAAAAATAACATACCAACTCTTTTCTCCAGAGCAGTGCCTTGTTGAGCCAGTTTGATGGCATGAATGTAGCTAAATGACGCTTCATATCCGAGCATTTCACAGTAGGTCGCTCTCACCATGAGCTCCTTCATCTGCCTCTGATTATGATACAAGCAAGAAACAAACACATCAATCAATACTCTGAATAGTGAACTTTAAATTAGACCAAACTTGTAAATCAGAAGAGTCGTACCATGGAGGTGTTTGGGGAGGACACCTGTTCTTTGATAGACGTGAGCTCGCGTTGAATAAGCTTTTCCTCCTCCTGAACAACCAAAAACACAAAAACGAACAATTACACCATCAAATATTATCTGCGAAAGTCTGTGCAACCACACTCTACTTGTTGTCATTGATCATGCTGGGTTTAAATCCACAAAGTACATATCAGAAGCTTTTAAAGAGATGATTCAAGTAACTTATTAGACCAAGCATTTCAAAAAGTAGAAAGAAAAGAGTTACAGTCATAATCCTCCTTTCTGATCTGGTCAAAAATTAAATAAAAATCAAGTTTAGAAGTCAAGAACTATATTTCCAGAGGTCAGACCCTCCCGTTTTGCATAAGGCATAGCATCTGATGGTCAAAGCCTGAACACAGCAGTTACCAACAGCGGCTTTACTACTGAGGTCAATGAATGAGTTAATTTAACATTAAAGTAACAAGTTAAGATCAGAAAGGATCAGCCAGTGAGTAGTACTTAGTATGCAGTTTTGTCAAACATTTTACCTAAATCAACATTTTTAGATGATGTGAGTTGGATATCTCACTTGGAAATTGCTATTCTAATACTATTTGTATTTATTGTTTGGTCATATTTTAATTTTAAACACTGATACAGTTACATTACTGTCAGCCATTGATAAATGTCACATGCTTTTGACGGTCAGAGCATCCCAGTGAACTGAAGCTGTTTTTATATTCGCTTATAGATCCATTCTAATGGTGCATTCAGGTGTTTGTGGGACATTACAGCATTCAGGACTTCAGAAATTGCTGACAAGATGAAGCAATTTTTCACAGCTACGCGAAGTTTTCCTTCCAAGTTTTCCTTTCCTGCAACACAGTTTGAGAGATCCAAGTCTGACTTTATACTTCCTGTACACTCACGTCTTTTATTTACACCTGAACTGAGGGTTTAAACATGTAAACACAGGTTTTTGAGTTAGCGCAGGCAGCTAACCTCAGAGCACATCATCAGCTGCCTACTCTCGTTATTCACCTCCTGAACTCCAGTTAAAAACCAGACTCACATGTTTGGACGTCAGCTCAGTGATGCCCCTGATGAGGTTTCCTAGTTTTGAGGTGGAGGACAGTTTTGCAGCTCCGGGCTGAGAGTCTAAAGACAAGAGGCTCGGCAGAGCTGTCAGGGTCTTCTCCACAACATCGCTCATTTTGTCAGCGAAAAGATAATCTTATCAGCTGTGTTCGGCCTTTAAAAACACACTTCTTAAATCATCTATCCATTACATAACAGCCCCCTCAACGCAGCGTCTGTTAACTTCATAGGTTAAACGTGTTAAAGAGCACAAGAGGGACAGTGTTTTGCCTGCCTGTCGGCCATTGTTTTGATTCAGCAGACTGATGGTGACTCGTTGATGATGTCACTTCCGTTTGTGTTTGCGAAACTTTATTAGAAAACTTTGACATTAACAGTGAATATGAGGTCTAAGATTACTCAGCAAGACAAGTCAATAGTCGTAAAACAAACAAAAAAAAAGATAAATTAATAAGAATAAAAATGAGGACGTTTTGGTATTCAAAACTCAGTTTATTATGTTTGTTATACTTTGATAAACAGTCCCTTGTATAACTGTACACTAAACTACAATAGAATAATTACAGTAAATATGAAATGACAGCCATTGGACAACTGCATGAAAGGAGTACATTCTAAGAATTTAATCACGTTTGAATTTGTCAGTATTTAGATATCTAGAGGGGGACCACAGGTTCAGGGTGTCTGCAGTGACTGGATGTGCACAAAGAGCAATAAGAGGCCTCCACGGCTGGAAACAAACAGATGAGATGTAAATCATTATTTAAAAACATAGAGGTGGACAATAAACACCATATATTAATATAGTTTATGTGAATGTGCTTTTTTTTTTATATTGGAATAATATTTGCAGGTGAGTTGCTGTTAAGAATAAAGAAGGCTTGTTGGGGTGTACAGGGTGTGGAATTAAAACACATCTATTTGCATCTTTTTTTTTTAACCTACAAACTTTGTACTTTACTCGTTATATTTTATGATCCTTTATTTTGTATATTATTTCTAATTGGCTTTAGAATCATTTATTAAAAGCCAATCTAACTGACTATCTCTCATTACCCCAAACTTTAAAATCCTTTCTGCTCTCTTTTGTAAAAGGTAGACAAGTAAAGCTGAAGCTATTTTATAAGTGCTTCTCCAGCAGATGGAATTTGATTCCTTGTATCCCATTCACTTCCACATACGCATCCCTCTTGTATCTTTTGTGCAGAGAAACAAATAAATAAGTAATGTCCTTTATGTGGGCACATACAATACATCACTTTATTGTGTCACTTCTATCCTAGACTGATGCGAGTCACTACCAATATTTTTTTTTCTGCAATATACATTTTACATCTTAAGTTGTAACCATTAGTACTTCTGTGCAATTTTCTTTCAAACATACCGTTATACAAGCGTGCCAGTTGGTTTAACTAATCTCTGAAATATGTAAACCTCCCTTGGCCATGAGACTGGAGTATATACAATGCTATTGATATGCTCTATGTACAACCCAAGTCTGAGTCTCTATCTCTGTGATTGTACTCTAGCAAACAGAAACATCAGTGTGTCTTCAGTAGGTCTGTCTACCATTTCATCCTCTGTGTCTTCACTCTTAAGCCCAGATCTGGAAAAAACAAACAAATATGTATCATCAGAAAAGGTCAAAGAAGGCTGCAAAGTTGGCAGATCAAACACTAATGACCAACATCTCATACCCGAAGAGTGTGGTCCCAGGAACCTGTGCTGAAGGCCGTCCCATCTGGAGATACACGCAGCGTGCTGACACGGTTCTCATGTCCGAACAGAATAGAGACTCTTGTCCCTTTGAGAACATCCCAAACATTTATAGTGTAGTCGTTGTAGCCGCCAAACAGTAGCCGCCCTAAGAGGAAAAAACAAGCACACGCTTTTAATAGACTGACTCTATACGCTTAAACACTTTCTAATGACCATAGGAACAATATTCAATAGTGTACATTTCTTACCACTGAGAGAGAAATCAACACTGGAGACTCCAAATATGATGCTCTCTTTAGAATAGATAGCCACTTCTCTGTCTGCCCTTAGGTCATACAGGCGACACTGAAACAAAGGTCAGTGTTTGAATTGAAATGAGGATTTTTAATATGTTTTGTTTGCACTCTGAGCTGTAGATATCTGGATACTTACTGTAGCATCATCTGAGCCGGATGCAAATGCATCTCCACTCGGATAGTATCTAAAAAAAAAAAAAAAAAACAGAACAGAACAGGCAGCTACATGAGGATTAAAATACTCTCTGAAAGCCTCTTCATGTAGGATTTGAACTTTTAGCGACTTCTAGTGGTCATATTAAAAAGACTAAATGGGCTAAGAGAAACACAAAGCTTCTGTTATGCATTATGAAATCCAGCATGCCTTTTTGTCTCTTCTTCCTGCACAGAGGGGGGGGACACATCTTACTGATAAATCCCAGCAATATGAAAATACAAATGGTTTTGTAATTTTACTATAAATACATGACTGCATGTTAAATAGTTTAAACCCCAACAGCAGAGCTCTCTGTGTGTGCCTACAACTGATTTTAGTGATCTTTGTGAATGGCATTATGAATGTCTTACGCAAAATCAATTCTCAAAACAGTATTTACATTTTGCACTATAAACTGAAACAAATGTACCATACAAAGTAAGTTCTTTGTTATGTTAGGGCTGCTGTAATCTAGCCATATAGTAATAAGAAGTATGTAGGATGAAAGCAGAGGGATCTCACCTGGATTTTCATTTTAATTTAATTATCGAGTCTCAATTTTAATATAAGATCATTATGAAGATGTAATAACACAATTCAGAAAAACTCAAACTATCAGAATTTGAACTAAATTGCGAATAAATAAAATATGTTAACAAATAGCCAAACTCAAATTTGACAGAAGCGGTCACTTACCGCACACTGTTTATGTCCGATTCATGAGTTTCAAAGGACTGAATACACTGTCCTGAACGCATGTCCCACACGTTGGCCTTCTTATCACAGCCCTGCAATGTAACCGAATAACGTTGAATAAGTAAAACTCAAAACTGATTGATGTTGAATTAACAATAAGCTGTAGTGAAAGTTCAGAGAAAGCAGGAGGAGTCCTCACCCCCGAAACAAACGTGTTCCCGGTCTCAGAGGGGGCCAGGTCCAGACAGAGCACATCTGCTGCGTGTCCATGGAAACTCTGCAACAGCTGCCCACTCTCAACATCCCATAATGCACATGTCCCATCACCGCTGGATGTAAGGATCTTAAAAAACAGGCAGACAAAGACGAGTAAGAATAACTGCTGCTCTGAAGTTGGGCCCATACTGCAGGCGGCTATAAATGGACTGTCGGTGCTGCGTGAGGAGTCATGTGACCAGGATGTCAAACCAGGAGCAACTGGCTACTGTGAATTATTTACAAGGATGAGAAGCTCCTTTCCCTGCAATATGGAGGTATTGATTCTAATTAATAATGGGTGAGAAACAGTTATGAATAGAAAAGCAGCAGTGTTTATTAATAAATGGAGTATTAGTGGAATATTCAAAAACAAGAATATTATGCCTGACATTTCACTCAGTCCCTTTTTTGTAATTGATGGTCATGTTGATGGCGTATATTAGAGAGTCTAACCTGCATATCTGAGTTGGTAAAGCTACAGGCAGACAGGTAGTTTGTGTGCATGGCCACTGACTTCTTCTTGGCTGCTAGGTTCTCATTTTTGTCCAGAGACAGAGGATACACCGAGCATTTGTTGTCCAGGCCCCTGTGGGGGGAAAACGAGAAGCAGGTTTCCATAAAAACGGAAACCACAGCGATGAAACAGCACATTGGGATCATCAGTGATGTTAAGACACTCACCCACAAGCCACAGCACAGCCAGAGGGAGCGTAGGCGCAGGCCATCACCCAGGTGCACGGCATTGTCACAGCATGCTCCTGAAAAACATCAAAAGGCATCAGAAGCAGTGTGAGCCACACTGGGACAATGAAATCAATCGGGTTCATTAGGAAAAATTAGAGCAGAATAGTATGCTTAGAGCTCTCTGATATCACCAGTGGTGCAGTTTGTGAAGCATCAAACATCTTTTAAAACTAACAAACTATAAACACTTCTTTGCTTTTGTGTTTGAAAGTGTTTATTTACCTTGTTTGTAGTGAAAGCATCCCATACAATCACTTTTCCATCCTGCATAGAAAGATTAGACATCAGTACAAAATAAAACCCAATTTATCCAATAGGAAAGCAGCTCTTTAAATAACTGTGCAAGCTGAGTTAAAAGCAGAACAAACAGTAGCTGGAGAAGCAGTTTGTGCGTGTGTGTGTGTGTGTGTGTGTGTTTGGACCTGAGAAGAGCTGACGATCCTCCTCTTGTCCTTACACCAGTCCATACACAGAACTTTGTTGCCGTGTCCCTTCAGGGTCCTCCGGGTCTTCATGACAAACTGACCCAGCCCTTCCACCTTCTCTGCCACCTGGTGTACTGCACACACACACACACAGACAATACACAATACATTATCTCTCTACTGTATATCATTAATATGTAGGGCTATTCCCTGCAAGATCAGGATTAAACAACAGTGGGTCTAAATGCAGGAAAACATTGAATTATAATCTTTGAATCATCTGTCATGCCCATTAACTCATGGGAGCATCTCTACAACATGCAATACAAACAGGTTATTTTTCCAGTTTTGTTTTTTTTTATTTTTTTTTACACATTTCGATTTATCATCACTAGTTTTGCCATTTGTTAAGACATGACTGGACTACACAGCAGGAATGTGGATGGAGGCAGTGTGCTATAAAATAGGGAGCAAAACAGCTTTTTTTTTGGAGTCGTATGTCAAATCAAAGATAGCAATAGGACAGAAATCAGTGCAAACAAATTCATAACCATTAATCTCGAAACATTTCCCCCCCTCGCTTAAACACATTTGGTCGTAAAAACAGAGATCTTATAGTTGTTTTTCTTGCGGTTATTCGTCCCGTCCCACTGTGATCGCCGAGGTGATTTAAGGCCTCTCAATTTTCAGCACTCACGCTCGACATCGTGCAGCTTCGCCCTTTCCTCCTCCAGCTTCGTCTTCAGCGTCTCCGATTCCGTTTTGAGATGGGTCAGGGTCTCGTTCAGCTGTACCTCCTGTGTCGCCATTTCAGGGATTGGAGGGGATCTCATATATTTCCTTTGTGCAGACAGCGATCGGCAGCGAAAGGGCTTAAAGCGGAGCTAACAGCTGATGCTGCTGTCATGACGTCACGGGGAGAAGATGCTTTCTCCAGTTGCCGGAGGAGGAGGAGGAGGAGGAGGAGGAGGAGGAGGAGGACCCTGCATCCTGGTGATGCTGCATCCTCACACGGCCTCATTACTCAACAGCTAAGAAGTGCATTCATATGAAGAACACATTAGTGTTTGGTCGTCATGAAGAAATGCAGTAGGAGCAGGAAAACCCCCTTTTTTGTTTGTTTTTCAAATAAAGAATAAAGGAAAAAAAAAAAAAACATAACATTAATTTGCTTTCACAAGAAAAATATTCTGCTAAATAAATTAAACTCTTATGTAATCATGTGTCTTGAGTAAATTGTTTAAAATACTGTTGACTTTTATTAATTTCATTTTCACATTTTAACACTGAGAGTAGTTACTGAGTTTTTCTTTCAGGGTATCAGTTAGCATAAGTTACAAATAGAGGCCATCAGATGTGCTTTTAAACAAACATACATAACAAAGAAAGTATTCTGAAGTGGATTGAGACCAAATGATTTTGATGTTGGGCTGCTCTCTTCAAATGGATCATTCTGTTCAACCACCAGCTCATAAACATAAATACATTTCAGTTTATTAAAAAAAATACAAAAATCTGAACAAATCTTAAAAACCTTTCCCTTATGGAGTTGTTACGTTAGACAGGCATGATCTCTGCATTTAAAAAGTCTACATTGTTTATTATATTTATACTTTGTTAAATGTGTTTACATATTCATATATACAATAAGAAGCAACCGCAGGTCACTGCGCTGTGAATTAGTCATTAGTAGTGAAATGTTAAAGGCCGGCTGGCTCAGATCCTGATGAGGAAACCCAGCTGGAGGCTGCTCGGGACCTGCAGCAGCTCCAGAGCCTGTAAGGATGGGCAGAAAGGAAACGTGACCTGGAAGCGATAGTCCGAGTCCAGCATCAGCTGTGAGGAGCTTTCACGATCGTGGAGTAATGACTGCAACGAGAAGAAAGGGGGATTGGATAATGAAGTGCATGGAAGGAGTAACACACCTCTGAATTTTTATAGGCTAGTTGCTGCCTTAATAAAATGTGAAGATTAACAAGAGAGCTCACCTGCACTTTGCGGACGAACGAAGATGACACCCTCTTCTCAAAATCATCGATGGGTGTGTAGGAGTTCAAAATCTTCACAATCTACAGATAAAAAAAAACACAGCATGTTTCTTTACAAGCTTCCTCGACTTTGGTATTAGTTTCTCTCTTCATACTTCTTATTTCTCTTGAGTGCACGCTTCTCCCGAGATGTTTTTTTTTTTAAATCTTAAAGTGTGAGGACTGCAGAGGTCACAAAGCCTATTTTGTCTCATTGTGTTTTTTGTAATATAAACCTCTTTATTAAAATATAGAATAAAAAAGAAAGCGTGGAATTGAAGAAAGTACCTGAACAGTGTTGAGTTCGGTGCATTTTTCAGCGACATCCTTGGCGTCGTCATCAGTGGACTTGTTGACCTGCAAAAGCCAGGCAGCCTGAGACAGCGGCTTCAAAGTGTCCATAGCATTAGAGCTCTGCAGTCCTTTCTCCTTCAGCCACTCCTCCAGGTAACTGATGTTGCACCTGAACAAACAGAGAGAGCGATGTTTAGAATTGGCTGCAAAAACTGCATGTTCATAATAAAAAAAACAACAACCACAGACCTGATCTGCATCCCCTTCCTGCAGGAACACATGTCTTTACGGAGCATGATGTTGTTGAGGGTGGTGGCACCAACCAGGAAGAAGAGCTGCTTGACGGCCTGTCTGATGAGGCCCTGCTCCATGTCGTGCTGGCTCATGATGGAGAGGAAGGTGCTGAGCTGCTGGATGATGGAGGAGAGGGTGTAGGTCTCCGAGTCCTCGTAGATGCTGTTTGAACGCTTCCTGAATCCTGTCGGCTTCATGCTGGAAATCCCCTGCAAACTCTCATGCTCCAACATACCCGGTACTGAAGGACAGGAATGCAAAGAAAACCCCTTTCAGTTTTAGACTTTGTCAACATCTGCAAGTGATGACGATGAACTATGTATATTACCAATTGCGGGAGTGAGGCTCTTTTCCATGACAGAAAGAAACTGATGGTAGATGTGGATGGCCAGGTCGCTGAGAATCTGCCTGTGCTCTGACAAATCAAAATTCTGCAGGCAGTTCTTCTTCTGTCGAGGAGTACTCTGTTTCATGAACTCCTTATACAGAAATAAATCAAAACAAGTATAAAATATAACTGTATTGACAGACAAAATTATGACAAAAGAAATTCAATGATTTTTTTTCACCTCCTCCCCGCTGTACTGCTTCAGACAGTTTAGCAGCTGATATGTGTTTGAGAGCCAGAATGACAGCACCTCAAAGTCTTTGTGATAATTCTGAAACAAACACAGAAATGTCAGTTACATTAAAAGTAAGTTTTTAAATACAATTTCATTTCTCAAATACTTAACAGACATTTTATTTTATTTATGCAACGTAGAAATTTGGCTTCTGCCTTTTTTCAATCAATTAAAAGCAGATGAATCTTAAACCTACAAACAAAGAAAATGCAGACTGAACAGAAAATGAGGTGGCCAACATTTCCCAACTAATTCAAGATATTGTAATAAATAATTATTGTTAGGTGTATAATTTATAGTCAGTCAAACTCTGCTTGCATTTCGACCTAAGTTAGAGCATTATTTATCCTCGTGTATCTTTCGGACTGGAGCTACATCGGGTGGTTGGATTTTTGGGGGACACATAGGACTTAGGATGACATGTATAGCACAAAGTAATTAAGATGAAGTATGGGTAGACTTCCAAATGTGGAGCTCTGAGAGACTACACAGTCTGCTTGTGTTGCATTGTACGACCTTTTCCCCTTCATCTGAATCAAATCTCAGCATCGATAAAGCTCAACATGTGCTCTGTGTGTGCGCCAGAATCTCATCGCTCACTCAAGAAATGTTTCCTATCAATGCGACCTTTGGGTTATAATCATTATTTATTCAGAAAAAAAAGTTATCCAACTGAGATTCAACCTTACCAAGATGACCTTTTTGACAGCCGCGATCATTTCATTCATCAGAGATTTGAGTTTGTCTTCATCGTTCAGGTAGTCGACATGGCGGATGCACATGAAGAGGATGAAAGCTGGCAGCCTGGGCATCATATTAACTGCCACACCTTTGGGTTTTAAGTCTGAGAGAAGAAAGAGGCATGTTTTGTGGAGTTACCATTAAACAAAGACACTTACTAAAAAGTCAAAAGAATCTTGAGAAAAAAAACTCTTAAAATGATTGGATTTTATGTGACTATCACAGACTAACAGAAAAAAAAGTCAGAGAGCAAGAAAAACCTAGAATGATGTTTTGAATGAGCCTGGGTCCATCCTCTCGTTTGTACTCCAACATGCCGAGGAAATCCTTGGGGATGGCAGGCGCGGACGTTTGTTTCACTGTGTAAGAAACGTTGTAATTATGAAGAGGTAGAATATTGATTTATTTATTACTAATAAGCCACAGCAATAGCTACCTCTTTGTGATGTTTCAAGGCTTTTTATTTGACTCCGGAGTTTCTTTATCAATCTGTCTTTGTGATCAAGCATCTCCTCAAAGTCCTGAAAGAAAATAATTATTTGTTTCTTCATTTACTACCAACAAAGACTGAACTCAATCATCTATCCATATGCAGACACACACAATATTCTCAGCAGTAAGCCGTGAAATGTCCTGTCTCAGTTTGCTCTTGGCCTCGCTCTCCATCAGCTGCTGTCTCTTCAAGTGATCAGTCTCCTCTTCCAGCTCCTCCAGTTGTTCTTGAAGCTCATTTTTCTGCTCCTCTAGCTCGCCCGCTTTCTCCTCCAAGTGCCTAAAAAGAAGCAAAAATCAGAAGGGCTCAGAAATTTGCCTCACTTCTTCAATCAAGAAACTCAGACTTCAATCTGAGTTGTACCTGCGTTGTGAGCTCTCATCTTCAATCTTCCTGTGGAGAACATTTGTGATCTCCTCTGTTTTTTCTGTTTGATGGCATGGAAAAAAAAAAATCAAAAGTTGAATACTATTCAACATTAGAGGCCCACAGAGTAATAGTTGGAATAAAATACTCAGATCTACCTGCCAGTTCTTTTCTCTGCTCCTCCACATGAGCCTCCAGTTCTTGTTTTTGTCTCTGCAGTTCAGAAGCCTGCAGTTTCAGTTCAGGTATAACCTGTGGGTCACAACCAAATCATGTTCAATTCTGCACCGCAGCTATCTTGAGAAGGGAAATATAGAATCAAGAACGCAGTAACCCACTGAGTTTTCACTGCTGAGCCTGGAAACCTCTTGGCGGATGTTCTCGTTGACGTTGCTCTTCTCCTGAAACAGGTTTTGCAACTTGCTGTTCTCATTTTCAAGATGGTCCACTTTCAACTTCAAGCCCTCCACTTGGGATTCATATTTTTCCTTCTGCTCCTTCTGGTGGCTTTCAAGTATTCTGCGACACCACACCGGACAGAATCAAGAGTACACAGATTAAAAACACTAGAAAGCCCTGATAAGAATGAAAAGATTGCTTAAGATGTTTGTAAAAATTTACCTGCTAGCTTTCTGTAGACCATCAAAGGCTGCAAGCATATCTTCAACTTCATAAACCTTCTCTGAGTTGTCTGGACTTAGCCTTCAAAGAAACAGTGAGTGAGATTGAATGCCTTACTTTGAGAAAGAAAACAGCTCTATTAGAGAAAGGACGAACGTCTGGATTACCCCAAAAGAACCTCCTCTTCAACAACACCACCCAGAAGTTGTCTTGTGATATCGTTCACTTTCACTGCAGAGAAATATTCAGGTATCATCAGCAAACTACTTTCTCATTATGTAGGTGTGTTATTTTTTTACACAAGAAGGCCGTACCTCTTGCTTGATCAGACTGTTGCTTCATTTTTCGATCCATGTTATTTCTCTGGTTTTGCAGGTTGTTGAGGTCTCGACGGAGCTCAGGGATGGTTTTAACGTGTTTGGTGAGCTGGATGACCTGTTCCTGCAGGTCAGCGTTCACCTGTCCAGCCTCCTCCATCTTACCCTGTAAACCAACTCGCTCTTCTTTCAGTCTCTTGATCTCCTCTTTCAGAATTTCCACTTCCTTCTCGTGGTCCTGTCTCTGGATCTCAGTGTTGCTCTCTGCAATCCTGCCAAGAAGCATCTCATCAATAAGGGCGAGCTAGAATTAACTGTGGATGAAAAATAAAACTAGACTGCTTGTTTTTATGACTTACTTTCGAAGCCTTGCCTCATATTCTTTCTCTTCCAGAAGACTGCTCTTTATATGATCAAAGTTCTCTGTAAGAGTTTAAAACCAGTAAAAGAAATGTTCAGGGCACAGTGGCAGTAAGAGTAGCAACATATTACAGGAATCTTGACTCATATTACCCTTTGCCTCTTTGAAGGATGCTTCAAACTTTTTCTCCAAGTTCTGCTTTTCGAGTTTTAGTGCATCCATGTCCTTCTGAAGCAATGCAATTGTCTAGAGCGAGGATTACAATGTTTTTTTTAAATTCTGCTCTATAGACAAACAAAAAGCTTCTAAGGCACAAACGACAGAAGAACATTTTAAAACTGACCAGACCAGCGTCTTCTTTCGCTTTCTTCTCTCTTGCCTCGACAGATGCCTTCAGGTGAGTGGATTTTTCCAGCTTCACCTCCAGACCCTGAAGCTTCTCAACGGTTTGAGAGTGCGAGTTGGCCAAGGTGGTCAGCCTCTCCACCAATCCACAGTTCTCCTTGCTCTGTGAGAATACAGGGAGTCAGATACCTCCTGTACGTACAAGCCTCTGCTAACTTATCTCTGGAAGTGTCTTCACCTGCTCTTCAATCTTTTTCCTTAGCTGCTGCACCCTGTAGGAGAGCTGAACGTTGAGTACCAGGCGACGCATGGTTTGGAAACGCCGGCGTGCCAGCCATGCTCGAGCGTACTTCTGCAGAACCAAAGCTTTGTGCTCCTTCATCATCTGACAAATATTACAGAGAGCAGTGAGGTGTTTTTACCTTATAATGAAACAAGCTGAAATCAATGCCGATTTCTATGATTGAGAACAAAAGCAAACAAGACCATTAGCAACAAGACTGTTGATTTGCGTGTAGTTATTTGATATGCCTGTCATCCCTGCCAGGGGTCAGGCGATAAACAGTAACTACCAAAACAGCCTAAGTTTCTTTTGTCAGAAACACTACTTATACATGTACAGGAAAAGATAAGCAAAGGGCGATATATTCATACATTTCCTCATAGCAGCTTTCAACTAGGTCATAAAGATGAATTAAATCAGTTACACACCGTCTTGAACTGTTTGCGTGCCTTCCATCCTCGTGTGAAGGCCTGGATGGTGATGGATGCCACACGGACGACAAGGTAGATCTGCCTCATGCGGTACCCTTTCCAGTGTCTCTGGATCACCAGCGATGCCCAGCCCTGCTTCAGTGTTGCAGCACTCACCGTTTTACTGAAAGAAACAAGCCCATACTCATACGAGGACCGCAACAGATACAACAAAGGCTGCAGGAGGTCAAAAGAGGAAGTCTCACCGGATTGTCCTCTGTCCACGGATGTACTGTTGGAGGATGATGGCCGCCTCTCTCATGCGCAGGTACTTCCTCCTCTGGCTCCACCCGCGGACGTGTTTCTGGATGGTCACACAGGCTCCTCTCAGGCGGTCCAGGCGCAGCTTCTCCAGGTACGCTACCTGTCCCGCTCGGAAGAAGATCTTTGTCCGACCAAACTTGTACTGGTTAGGGTCCTAAAGATCAAGCAATGAGGACCGGGCTACACAAACATGTGGTGCTCAACAACTCATGACAATGCTGTGTTTAAAGATGGATTAACCTGAATCAGCCTCTGAAGGACATTCTTGCAGGTCTGCTTCTTGTCACTGAGGTCGGCCTCCTGATGCAACATCAGGATACTGTACCGGCTGTAGAACTCATTGTATGTCCACCTGCAAACACAAACCATGCTAGCTATGTCAACACAGGCACACAGAGATGAGAACACTGCACCATGGCTAATATATTATCTAGAGAATCACCTGGATGGATAACTCTGTGCGCTTATACGAATTGTTTCGAGGACTCCGCAGGCACGCAGCTGCTGCACCACCCTCCTCGAGTCATATCTCAAAAAGCAAGCAAAACTCTCTTAAAACAGGATTACAAAAACATATAAATATATATTCAGATGAACACAGAGTGGCTCTTGTCAAAATACAGTTTCATTAGAACTCACTCAAACGGGAGCTTTTCATCATTGGGCTTAATGCAGCGCACATAATGAGGAGTGGTGGCGTTCAGTGTTTCCATCAGTAAAGAGAGGGAGCTGCAGAACTACATTCAAACATCAGAATAATAAAAAAAAAGAAGGGAATTCAATCTCCAGTGACCATTAACATTGAGTAAACATATCCACCTTATCTCCCACAGAGGCTCTCAGCTGTTTACTGGCTGCCTTCACTCCGGGCCTGGCGGGCCTCACTTTGACACCTTTACAGTTCACAGCACGAAGCTCCTCCTCTTTGAAAAAGTTGGCCAGAAAGGGAAACTGATAAGAGTTGGAAACGGGAGAAATGTGTTCAAATAGGAGAAATAAAAATGCAAGGCTTAGCATTAATGACACATACACTTAGCAATAGAAACAGGGCCTTTCATTACCTTACTGGCTCTCAGAATGTCAACAAGTTCTTCATAAAGAGTGTCCCTGTTCTTTTCAAGGAAACCTCTGCATTGATATTCCACCTGTTGATGAGAAAAAAACTCATATTTTAAAGATAGGAGTCTTTGGGCTTTAGAGGTCATAGAAGTATAAGTAATGGGTTTCTACGGGTCAGCGAGACTGCACCTTGTCTGCAAAGTGTTGAATCGTAAATGCCTCATTTGATAACCTGGGCTTCTCAAACAGAGGATTGTCAGCTAGGTAGTTGAACAGTTTCTGCAACCAGCTTTGATCTGTGCCTTGAGGAAACTGTAAAGGGAAAAAAAAGTAGTGTAAAGGGTGCATGGTAACAGTAATAATAACACACTCAAAGGGAGAGGAAGAGAAGAAAAAGTTACCAAACATTCTTCATCAAGCAAGTCCAGGATCCCCATCTTTGCTTCAATCAGATCAATGACTGGCTGGTTGTCATAGAAATCTATCAGTGTCCAGGGGATGTCCTCTCGCATGTACTCCTCTTGCTCCAGTTTAAACACGTGCTGAATAAAAAAAAAATTAAAAAAAAGGCAACAAATAGCATAATAACCATTGGAGCTGATGAGAAGATGATTTCAGTGCTATGAAAGGATTTAGCATGACGGAGGGGCTCGTACCAAATTGAACTGCTGTTGAAGTTTTTCATTTGCATAGTTGATACAAAACTGTTCAAAGCTGTTGACGTCAAACGTTTCAAAGCTGAGGACAAAATACCAAAAACACCTAATTTAAAACTGCCGGTTAAAGACACAGGAATGATCAAGCAGCTGAAGAGAAAAAGTGCTATTACCCATAAATGTCCAGAACACCAATGAAAGCGTGCTGTTTTCCTGGAACCTGCAACGCTGTGTTTATCCTGTTGATAATACAGTCGAACAGATGGGCGTAGATCTGCTTGGCTAAAGCATTCCTGGCATTCACCGCTTTCTCTTTGGGCACCGGCTTCACCACCGTCTCAGCCACCAGCACGATCCTCCGGTGGCAGAGCCAACGCACCAACCCCTCTGCGCTCACACCCAGCAACTCACAGAAGACCGCCAGGTGTGGATCGCTGAGCTGGAAGATAATACAAAATAAAAACGTTTTAAGATTTCAGCTCGCAAGAAAAACAACTAACTTAAAGAGTTGATACTCACTGGAACTGAGGATTTGTCACTTCCAGAGTCCTTGATTTCCACATTTCCCAGATGCAGAATAGCCGCCAAAACTTTGAAAACATCTGACTGAAACTCTTCCTTCAACCCTGAAGAAGCAAAGAGAAGACACTCGTGTTAAAGTTGAACTGCTTGAAGAAATGACCATCTGACATCTAAAGGGGTTTCTACCTAGGAGGGAGAAGGTCCGTTGAGTCTCCTCCATGTCTTTCTTGTCATCTACCCCTTCAATAGTCATCTCGCCGCCCATGCAGGTGTACTGGAACTTATCTGCACTCACTGCAGATAACAGCATTACATATAATATCATTTATAGTATTGATGAATTAGGCGTTCAAAGTGAATCAAAGTCATCACAACCAAAATGAAGAACTCACACAGCTTCAGGTTCTTGAACTCTGGCAGGTGAGCACAGGAGCACATCTGATAGAATATGTGATAGTTCCGCTCGTTGTCTGCCTGAATAAAACAGGAGCATCATTATTACGGAGGACATAATGAAGAAAACATATTGACATTATCTAATCATACACTACCTGAAACACAACTCTGGATTTCTCTAAGAGATACGTCCTCATGTTGGCCCCGATGATCCTGAACTTCTTGTCAAAGCTGATCTCCGTGTATTTCCCAAAACGGCTGCTGTTGTCGTTCCGGGTGGTCTTTGCGTTTCCAATTGCCTGAGAAAGAAATTCACCTGAGGTCAGCAGGCCTCGTTCTCAACGTTAGAGCGAAGATCAATTTCAGGAATAAACACAGCAAAGATTGATCTTGGCCCCCTTTACTGTATTATTCAGGGTTCACTCTTTTTAGAATTTAATAACATCATCGCTTTGTTGTCATGTTATTTTGCTCAGATGGACATCAAATACTCCCCATTCTCCTGCTCATTGGGTTCAATCTGCACTTAACTGTGTAAAGTTAGAGAACATTACCCGCACAGGGTCTCTAAATAATCACTATCCAATGTGGTCCCCCTTCTTTTCCTATGTTAAGCAACTACCTTTGAATGTAGTTTCAGAGAGATAGATGGGAGCATATATGCCAGTGGTGTCCAAACTTTTTTTCTTGCGGGCCAAAATTGTCGTGTTGGAATCGCTTGCGGGCCACAGGTTTTGTTTTTTTACATATAGTTAAAAAAAATAGTAAGGCTTTGTAGATCAGAATCAAAAGGCTCGCTAAAGAACCCCTTTAAAAAAAGGAAATAATAAAATAATAAAAGGAAAATTTTGATTTCTTCGTTCTACTTTATTTGTTTATTTCTCAGAATCAAGCCTGTAACGTGGTTCTTTTTTTTTTGGAAAAGCTTTCTGCATTTAGCTCAGGTCATTAAATGGTTAAACAACAGTCTTTGCATACGTTTTTTTTCATAGTTTACAAAAAAAAATGTGGAAAATAGTAAAAGCTGTAGATTTAAAAAAAACAACATACATGTTACTGAACATTTTCTATTTTAGGAATATTGTTCAGCCCTTGTTAACATGAAAAAGAAAAATAAGATAAAGTGCCAATCTTAATCAAGGCCTCGGGCCAAAATCTCCTGATTCTTCATTTGACGTCACGGGCCGCAAAAAATCCCCTCAAGGGCCGTAAATGGCCCTCGGGCCGCACTTTGGACACTCCTGATATATGCAAATGTATAAATATGGGTGTATATGTAAGTATTGTAAATGGACTGTACTTAAACAGTGCTTTATTATTTTTGTGAAAACTCAAAAAGCACCTTTACACCTCTAGTCTGTCACATCCATTCATTCATTCACACCACATTCACACACAGATGGAAGAGGCTGCTGTGTAAAGTGCGACGTTAAGGCCAATGGGTCTTGGCCAAGGACACTTCAATATGTGAATTGAAGGGGCTGGGGATCAAACCACCCACCTTTCAACTGAGAGACGACTGACTCTAGCAAATGAACCACAGCCATCCCAACATATGTGCCTAATAGGATGGAGGACATGTCCTATTGTCCTTTAATTCCCGCGAATGCTAGTGGCCTGGTATGTCCCACTTATTGAAGTATTTGTGTCGAGTTGTTTCTTTAATTTGTTTTGTTGCATTAGAAAAAAATCTGAATAACAATTTACAAGAGCAAATTAATTTGGTAGACAAAAGAAGGAAGTCTCACAGCTCTGAAACATCAAACATGTCTGTAGCTTAAAGAAGAGAACAGCACAGTGAACCGTTGCATATTCATACCTCTGTTATTGGATTGGATGCCAGGACTTTGTCTTCAACTCGAGTTTTACTTCCAGATTTGCTTACAACAGCAAAGTACCTCATAGCGTATCGAGCGGACACTGTCTTCCCGGCTCCAGACTCCCCACTGACGATGATGGACTGGTTCTTGTGGTTTCTGAGAGATAAAAAGGATGTGTGTACAGTTATAAATTATGTGTATATTCTGATTTATGTTGATCATTTCCGCTATTATTTACCTGGCCATCTGCTTGTAAGCCTCCTCTGCCACTGCAAATATATGAGGGTCCATGTCTCCCATGTTCTGGCCTGAGTAGGCATGAATGATTGCATCGCCGTAGACATGAAGCTGTTTGTATGGATTTACAGCCACCAGGATGATACCTGAAAATAAGAGAACCGCAGAAGATAAGCCAGGAGGAGCACAAACCAAAGACACCTGCTTTAAAAAAAACGTTGGACCACCAGTGATTTGCTTTAGTACCACAGTAGGTGTAGATGATTCTGGACTCCACAAATCGCACTTTCAGATTGTGAAGGACTGCAGGTTCATGCAGGTAGCTGAGAGCTGTGAGGTCGTTCTCCCCCACCAAGATGTCCGGGTTACGAAGAGGAGGGAGCTGAGGTTTAGACGGGTCCACGGGTGGTTGTACTCCTGCACAGTGACAGGTTACATAAAAGAGCCAAGTCAGCTGCTTCCTCTCACCCTCATAAATCCACTAAAGGTTTTATTGGTCACATTTTACTCACTTTGCCATCTTCAAGGAGCAATTCAAGAGCATTCTCCCCAAAGTGAAAGTCTCTGCTGATCTCAGCTGATTTCCACACATGCTCTGCATCTGGGATCCAAACTCTGTTGTACTAAAGGAGGAGATTTTAAAGGTGTCATGTAAACAAGTTATTCAACTTGCTGTAGAGTTACATACAACACTGCCTACATGTGAAGCATTCCTCTGTAAGGACTTCATCTAAGTTAACTATGAGGAGATGTATCTATGTTTGCATCGTCAGCAACTTACACAGACGAACTTTTAAAAAACTGAGTCAAATGGTTTAACTTTAGGCACTTTGGTACAGCCTCTTTTACATCTCAGACGCGAGCCTGAACTCTGAAAAAAAGTTTCCATATGTCTCAGTGAAACCACTTCAAGGTAAAACTATCTGTTTTAGAATTTAAAAAAAGACGAGCTTTTCTCTTACCTGGGTGTACAGCTCAAACACAGCCATCATTAAGCATAACTGTTTTCACTTCTCCGGTCAGTGTGTTTGTTTATCACCTGTTCCTCACACTGTACTTTCCCGGTTGCCAACGAGTTTTTTTTTTTCCCCTGCCCCTCTAAACTTTGTGCAAAGTCAAGCTGCATGTAATTAAGCATGCTTCCGGTTACAAATTTCAAAATAATACTCGCTGAATTAAACACTTTCATATAAGCTTTTTTTTTTTTTTTTATCGATTTATCTGTCTAAACCTGTGGGATAGTTTTGATAAAGATTGAAAAATGTATTGTTGACCGAGTGCATTCAAAAAGAAACAAGGGGATGCAAATATAAGTAATGTGTGACAATTAGTATATTTGAAAATGTTTGGACTTGTATGAAAAGTGCTATTCGTACTCGGTTAATTTTGGTGTGACATGTTTGAAATGTTGTTTATTGTTGTAACTAAAACTTACACAAGTTAAAGGGAAAGCCTGTGTGTTCATTAATACTACTTGAAACTTATATGCTCATAAACTGACACACCTTTTATGTTTTTGTTAATCCTATTTTAATGCATTCTTATATGTGTGCTAATTAATAAGTAAATAAATATGCCTATCTCAATTACCTGTTTGATTCTGGACACGTGTAGTTGTACACTCTGTTTTCAATTATAATCTGTAAAAATTTGTCCCAGGACAAATCTTGAGGGTTGAGTATTAAAAACAAAATAATACAATAAATCTGCTTTTGCTCTGAAAGGCCGTCAGTCATATCCCAGGTTTGTCTCGTGCTGTTCCTGTCTGACTTGTTGCTCACCTGCTGTGGACTTTGACTGTCTGACTCCGCCCTCCCATCTTGTGACAGCGTCTTCACGGAGTCAGGGGTGTGCTCGTTTGATCAAGGATTGTGACAACAAAAGAAACCGGATCCAGACTCGAGTCAGATCTCCATATGTTGAACGCATTTCAGCACCCTGCTTGGAACATATGGCTGCACGGAAAATATGCATTAAAAAATTAATAATAAAGTTAATGTTTCAAAATCTTACTTGACCTACAACATCAGGGCACTTGCAAAATTGAGAACACAGTGGGGATGCCAGAAATACTTTAACAAGGAAACACATCACTGCTGTGTACAGCTGAGAAGATTAAAGTCAACAGATTAATCATTCAAGAATTTTTAGGCATATTTTGTGTCAATCATTTGCAAATACAAAGCACCGACCCACGCTGGGAGATAGACATACTATGCTCAAGCAGCATGTGCAAGGTGTAGATATAATTTAAAGTTAGGAACTGTTCTTTACATCCACATAAAGAATTATCTTTTAAGTCTGTTGAAACTCCCAGCTACGTTTCTCCCAAGCAGTTTACATATCATCAATGTTTGAGTTCCATGAAGGAGGTGTACTGTTAAATACACATTTAAACCTGGTTGTATAACTACAAATCTTTATGATATTACAAATGTGAGGGTGCCAGTGTAATTAAAAAGAATCAACAAACTTAGAGCATTTTTCAGGAAGTTGAATGGCACCAAAAAGTGAAAGTTAGATGCAAGATCCATCACACCTTCTTAGGTAGCTAAACTGTTTGAACAGTATTTTCATGCACTTCAAACCATTTCTTTGAAAGCCAGCCTTTAATATGACCCGAATGTATAAGATAGCATAATTACATACATGTTCCTCCTCCTCTTCCTGGCATAAACACCATCAGCTGACGTTAGTAGTTACAGAAATATTAGGTTACAGTTTTAAAACAAAGCTCCTGCATTTCGTTATGACATTTACATTATGATTTAAATGCAAACTCAATATTTTATTCATTTTTATTTATGGTTATTTGCTTTCTAAAGATTTATCTATCCATGTCCATCCCCATAATTACAAACTTGTCACCTGAAAATGTTAGGTACAAACATTTGCCTATTTAAAAAAATATAAACACATAAAACTATAATAATGGATGAAATAATGCAATCATGAATTCACAAGAACTATCAACAACTCTATCAGTGATATTAAGGTTTGGCAAGACATAAGCTGTTTCTTTGTAGACTCACTGCTCACACAGCTCAACTCTTTGGCTTTGCAGTGCTGAAAAGCTCAAACATAAATGCATGTCTTAGGTGTTTTTATTCTTAAGACCACTAAGTGTCACTGGTCAGGTGTCAATGGCCTAAATGCGTTTGAGAAACGCCAGATTGAGGCTTGCAGGGATCTGGATGGTCTCCAGAGCCACTGAGGAAGGTGTGAAGGGGATGGTGACGGAGAAGATCTTCTTAGAGTCCATCATCAAGGTGGATGATTCAACTCTGCCACTCAAGAGGTCCTAAAATTGTAATAAAAAATAAAAAATGCAGATATAGTTAAAAAAAAAAGAGTTTATAAAACAATAATTCAATACCAATTTCATATTGTAGACTTTCCAGCTACTCACTTTAATCATTGTGATGAAAGTTATCGATACTCGCTCTTCAAATTCGATTACCGGGGTGTACAAGGTCAACACTTTAACAATCTGCAAATACACACAGTCAAAGATCAGAGCAATGTCAACGTTTTACCACTACAAATGAATACTGCTGTGTGTTCATGTAGTGATGATGGACCTGGGTTGTGGTGAGGGCAGTACACATGGTACAAATAGCTTGGGCATCATCCTCAGTCTTCTTCTTGATCTGTAGAAGCTGTGCAGCCTGAACGAGAGGTTCCAAAGTCTCTTTAGCGCCGCAGTCCTGGAGCCCCCTCTCTGCCAGCCACTCCTCCAGCTGCCAAACATTGTACCTGCAGCCAGACACAACAACAAACTATTCAGACTGTTCTACAGAAATCTAACTTCTGATCTACACACCCAAGTTGATCAACTTGACTCAAATGTTTTGCTGCATGTCTGATAAAGAAAACTATTTTCTTAATTTTTTACAGTTAATAACAGGAGAGGCATCCTTCTGCCTTCAGACCGGATGTTGTTAATGACTTTCAAGAAAATGTTGTTTGCCCTGAGAGGCTCTGTCCACAGGTTTTCCCCAGTGCCTATTTTATTTTTTATTTTTTGTCTCGTCACTTGGAACAGACACTGTGAAGGAGGGCGTGACGAGATGTGAATGAGAGACATCATGTTGGCTGACTGTTTGTTGTAAATGTGGTTGACATACTTGATCATTTCTATTCTCAATGTAACTCTGACCTCATTGATTAACAATAAAAAAATATCATGCTCAGAGGCTCAGAGGCATGTTAAGTAAGCATAATCTGGCTCTGCCAGTGCCAGATTTCAACTCAACAACACTGTTAAGATTGTGTAATTGTTTACAGGTTTTGTAACACTCGCACAACAATGCTAACCTGATCTGCAGGCCTTTGCTCCAGGAGCACATGTCCTTCCTCAGCAGCAGGTGGTTGAGTGTGACTGCACAGATGATGTAAAACTGCTGCCTGACCACCTGCTCAATGAGCTCTGAGCCCATCTCATGCTGGCTCATGGTGGTGTAGAAGAGGCCAAGACGCTGCAGGAGGATATCCACTGTGACAGTGTCCGCCTCTGGGATAGTGGTGCTCCTCTTCCTCAGGCCTGTTGGTTTGGCCCCAGGACGCTATGGATTGTCTCGTGCTCCAGCATGCTTGACACTACACACGACAGAGAGATTGACAGTCAGGTCATTGTTGTGATCGGGCTTCTTAGGAACATGGTGTTAGATATTATGTACCGCACCAATGATGGGCTGCAGGATTTCCTCCATGCATTTGATGAGCTGGCGGTATATTTGGATGGCCAGGTCGCCAAATACCTGCTGGTACTCCGACAGCTCAAAGTTGGTCAGGCACTGCTCGTTCTGTTTGGCAGTGTTGTTCTTCATGACCTCCTATACAATGAGACAGACATCCAGAGTTTAGGAAGGAATATTTATAAAAGTAAACAACTGGTATCAAGTCTTTCTCTGAAGCTTACCTCATCTCCACTGTATTGCTTCAGGCAGTGCATCAATCTGCACGTGTTGGCCAGCCAGAAGGACACCACTTCCAAGTCATCTCCTCTCCTCTGTAAGAACCAGTGTGAAAATGTATTCAAGATAAACTCATTCATCACTTTTTGCACATGCAAAAAAAAGTGATCTACTGCACCTTTATAACCCCTTTGATGCTGCTGATGGTGGAATTGAGCAGATTGCTGACTCTCTGATCATCGTTCACATTGTCGGCGTATCGCAGGCACATGAAGATGATGTAAGATGGAAGTCCAGGAATGAAGCTCACTGCTACACCACGAGGCTTCAGATCTGAGGAGATTACAACATTTGAAACCCAAAGTCCTCAAAAAGTGTGCACTCAGTGATGCAATTCAGAAAATAATTTGATTGAGCAAAACTGGTTTAACATACCTGTGACCATGTTCTTAAGCAAGCGGCCCTCGTCACCCTCCCTGTACTCCAACATGCCCTGGTACTCTCTCTCCTTGCGGGTGATGCTCACTGCTCGGCTACGAGTGTTCATCACAGAGGGGTTATTTTTCTGCTGAGCACCCACTAAACAAAAAAAAAGAGACACAATAGAGTGATAAACAGGATTTAGGAAGCTGCTAATGTCATCTTAAAAATATACAATATAAACATTCAGTGACATTACCTTCAAAATCTTGGACTTTTTTAAAGTAAATTTTAAGTTGTTTTTTCAACTTGCGTATGACTTTGTCTTGTTTCTCTTGATACTCCATGAGTTCCTATAATCAAGTGAACATAAAAGATTAGTTTGAGACAAAACAAACCTTTTAAAAGCATCAACGTTTTAATTTTTAAATCTGTTAAGTAAAATACGTCTAGAAAATGATTCATTTTACTGTATATTTGTTTATATGCGGTTTTATGCTGATGCAACATCACAATTTTGCAATACTTAACTATACAATTGATGTCATTTTTAAAACTGAACTATAAGATGGTTCTTCCAAAGGTTCAGATCCAACATTTCACTGAAGAATCAGCATATTTTAAGGACCTCTGCATTATGAAAATAATTACACCATCATATTGATATAAGAAAGATGCACTGATCTGGCAATACTGCCAGCCAGCGAGCAGCAGACCCACCAAGTTGTCATTGGTGAG